TTATATTTTTGTATTTCCATTTTGTATCTTATTATTTTTATGCAGGCAGTGGAGCAGTTCTTCAGGTGTGATTGGTTTTCACCATTACCTTTGAAGTAGATTCTTCTTTACTTTTTACTTGAGGGCGACTAAAGAGGCAGGTGAGTAAACACCTGATAGCCGGTCTGAGCATGGAAAAATCGTACCTCACCAACATGGTGTTGGGTAGCCCGCTCGCGGCACTCCCTCAGATATTCTTATTCCACATTCTCACACTCTTTCTCTTGAAAGCACGCAGTAAACCGTTAGCGATAGTTGTAGAATAGATCACATGCTACAAAATAAGATGACAAGCTAGTAAATGAGGAGACATCCATGGACTATCGTTGACAGCGTTAGTCGTCACTGATTGTAAGTCAAATAGTGAGCGAGTTGATAATTTTCCCTTGGGATGAGAAATAGAACTAAGGTGTTTTCGATAGATAGGTTAATCGAACCGACGTTCCTACGGAAGTCGATTCTAGGGGGAAGCTAATGTAACAGCTCAGGTTGGTTGGTTAAGAGTTGACCCCAAACAACCAAGCTTATGCCAAAACAGTATTGTTCAAGTATTCATTCACTTCCTTATTTTTCATAAGCGTTATATTCCCTATTATCTTGAATGTTGAGAGCCTTTGTTTGCCTGAACAGATAATCCCACGCTCCACTGTGACTGCGCGAAGATCGAAATAAAGACCTATTCACTACTTCTCTGGTTTCTTCTATCAATAGCACGAGGGTTACCTTAAGGCACGAAACATCTACCTAAGTGTGACCTCAGTTGTTCCTGGAACCTACTTTTGGTTTTCTCGTTACTCAACTCAGTTCTAACGGGTCTTTTTAATGTGACTTTTTTGCGTCCAGTGAGGCGCAAGCAGATGCGTGCCCGTATTAGGGCATGGTCGGAGTCCAAGCAGGTACTCCAGAATGAGCGACAATCTTCTACCGACCCTCTGCAACGATGACTGATGGCAATATGGTCTATTTGAGTCCATCGTTGGTTTGGTGTAGGGGGTCGCCACGTTAGACGATGTCTCTCCTTATGCTTAAAATTTGTGTTTGCTAAAAATAAACGATTTTCTGAGCATAGCTGCAGCAGACGATCACCATTATCTGTTCGCTGTGTCGGAATACTAAAATATCCACCTAAATGCCTTTCTGTTTGGTTTAAACTGCCTATCTGAGCATTAAAATCACCTGCAACGAGTACTATGTCTGAGCGTTTAGCTTTCTGAAGAAGTTCGGACAGCTTTCTGTAAAATTCATCTTTCACTTCATCTGAGCTGCAGTCAGTGGGAGCGTAGGCAGAAACGACGAAAAGGCAACGACGTGTGTCCCTATCCTTCCGAGTTCTTACGTAGCCGTTCAGCCGAACAGCACATAGACGACTGTTGACGGGGATCCACTCTAGCAGTGCTTGTTCGGCCCTCATGCTTAGTGCTATGCCTACACCTGCCAGTCCACGAGAACTGGCCATAGGGTCACCAGATACACGAAGGGTGTACCTCGTTGGCTCTCCGTTTTGTCGAGGTGAGGTCAAGTGAATAACCACACTGGAATCCTGTATGCGTGTTTCGGAGACACAGCACACGTCAATGGTAAGGGACTCTAGGGTTTTAGCCAAGGAAGCCTGCTGACCGATTTGACATAGGGTTCGTATGTTGAAGGCTCCAATGTGTAGTTTGGAGCGAGGTTTCAGTAGACCTTGGACAGTGTTTTGCGCACTAGAATCGTCGGCTATGGTGACACTTGAGGTGGAAGCCGAGAGAGGAAATTTAGAGTTGAAAGTCGATGTAGGAGGAATAATAGGAATTGAAGAGGGAGGTTGATTATGAATACAGTGGTCTTGAGTGCTGTTAGAGGTATGAGGGCGGTTATCACTTCCCGGTTACCCACACCGTGGAAGGGTTCTTCTGGAGGTACCTGAAAAGGAAATTGGATTAAAGGTGGTCTTAGTGACCTGAGAGCGTGACCGCAGTGCCCAAGGGACAACTGCTTGAGGTCGGTCGCACACGACCTTGTTATGGGTAATTTTTGTGTTAGCTCCGTATTTATTGAGACCTTACCGCCGGAGAAGGACATCCATGGGACAAGGTGAGGTGTGCATTTTTAGGGTCGACCTTTTCTAACCCCACCCCTCCTTGTGGGAAGGCAGCATCGCTGTCATGCTGGTTGTCTGAAGGAAACACATTGCTGCCACCACACCTCTATACAGTCAGCAGTACGACTTCGCCTTCGGACCTTGGGTTTGCTGCTTTTAGTCTTATCGCTCTTCAACCGACCTGTCTGGCATGGTAGGACCTTGAGGAACGGTTGTTCCAGCCAGTATAGCTCGGTTGCTTCATCACGATAGGCAAGCCCGACCACCACGTCAAGGTAGCAATAACGGTCGAAATGTTATCAGTCAATGAAGTTCTATGTCCCAATCTCCTTTGCGAAACTTTTCACGTGAACGAATTCGCACTTTAACCTATATATTGCCTAAAGTGTGTAGGATCATAGTTTTTACAAGTGCGTAGGAAATAAGCACGTCTATCATGCCACCATTTAATTTAATTTTTAAATAAAATTATTCTGTGGTATAAGTTTCATCTAGCAAACCATCGTTTTTGCTTTAGGTTAAGCCGTACTAGGTAATGATACCTGTTTTGGACGTGTGGAAACTAAAGAGATTACAGTTGAAAGATACGTTAGTGACAATATCCAGGTGATCATAAATTTTTTTTCCTCCATAATGATAGCCACCACTCTTGAAGCACTTCGTGTCAACAGACTCCATCTACCAACAGCAGTTCACGTACATCCGAACATGATACATGACAGGATTTAAGTAATAAAAATAACTGCAAGTGACAACTACATTTGGACCGTCAACGACAAGAGGAACACAAGAAGGAAAAAACTATCGAACGGGAGTTTACCTGTCCATTCACATAAGTCCAATTTAGACAAACAATGAAAGGGCGCTCACGCGTTTAAATTCGGAAAAATCAAATGTTATTCGAACTCAGTAAGTTGCGTGAACTAATATATGTTGATATTCCACATCTAATAAGGACAACTGGGACTTGAGCGTTTTAAATCACGGACAGTAATCTAAAAATATCCGGCGTGTATTTCACAACAACGGATAATTGGGTTGAGTGGCGGGGCTCTGTGCTCCTGACTGGCAGCAAGTGATATGAGCTTTCAAGAGTTTGCCGTTCTCGATTAATCTGTGCAGTGCACCATGAGGTCATCTCACACGCATAGCGAGTTTGCTGCAGGAGCGAGGTGCGACAGTCGTGTGCTGGGGGTTTTACGCATTCTGTTCGTTTTGAATACATGAGAACTACAGTCATCAGTGGTCGCGCTGTTCAATGCTAGGACCTAATTGGTGCTACTCAACAGAATATGGACGAATTAGTGTTCACAACATATATAGGTCGTTCCAATAATCAAGGGACCAATGCATAAGAGCGACAAGAGGGAAAAGGCGATATTATAAGATCAACATAGTCGAGAAATCTGTCCCTTATCTGAAGATTATTCGGCCGTACAACCTGGAGTTTACCAGTTGATAGATCCAAACGGCCCGACGAACACTGATGACGACACAGAACTTCTGAGGAGACAGTATTTTCAAACATCTCACTTGATACTCAGCAACAGTCCCGCAAGTAAATCTAAGCGCTGGACCAGTGTATCAGGAACTTAAGCATTCAAAAAAGAATACTTCTTTTGGCCTGGTTATGGTGCAACCTGCTGTACTGAGAGGAGCTACTTCGATTATAGCAACATCGCATATTTTAATGAACTCTCATTAGCTAGGTCAAGTCATTCATTATCCAAAACAATTTGAGTCTGGCGTATATGTGGTGCTTGTATTAATTAATAATTGTCCAGAACTGAATGTTAGCTTGATTTTAAATTTTAAATACAAAATATTCATTTATGCTCATTTAATCTCACTAGGTCTAAATTTCACTCCTTCGTGTAATAATTTAGATACTTTCAAATACCACAGTATACCTAGACATTTTTTAAAGGAGGACGATTTAATGGAACTTCGTGCTGTCAACTGGTAAGACTCTTAATAGCCTCCAAAATGATAGAGTGCACCATATACGACGGTATACGTGACTACCTGTACAAATACCTCGTATTTTTCGCAGTTTATAGAGATGACATTTCTCAGAAAGTATTGTCCGGTTTATTACTTACCACACATAAGACTTAGGTTAACCTCTTTCGGAGATGTCTGGAGTTGGAAAAGGTCCAAGGGTATATTCTCTATTATCTTAAGTCTTACACTGACTGTGACAATGATGCCTTTTTGAGTACATTTTGTATTGGTAACTTTAAAGCGCATTCTCGGCCAATCTGACAATAGAACTCTTTAATCATTCATCAACTGTCTTATAAGACCTCATTGAGATTTTAGAGATGTAGTATTTCCTTCCTCACTTCAAAAAGATATGAGTAAATTGGAACGCATCCTACGATGAGCCAAGAAATCAGTTCGAGGACATAAATTGAGACCTCACGAACAGTGCTTCAGACCACTGAATCGTGACCCATCAAAGCATAGGCACTTCAAAAGCTGAACTTCAAATGAATTTATGAATCGCCTTAAACCCCTACCTAAGTTCAGTCCCAATATAAATCTTAGAGTGAACACCCAGATTTCAGATCGGCAACATAACAGAATAGCCGTCATGACATGTTTTACTGTCTACGAGTAGTAAACGATTGTAGTACGCTTTGACATGGTGCAGTTCAAGTGAATTACAGGTGTCCTTTAATGGGAAACGAGACGTATTCTTTAAGATTCTCACTACAGTTTAGTAACATTCCTCTTTTTATCGTTAAATAAAGCTAGGTTCCTGCTTGAAGGCACTGAATATTTGTTATTAGTGGACACAGAAGTCTGTTAAGCGAGAGCTTCTACTCTTCCAACATCGACCATTCGAATCACATTGGAACCGTGAGTTGCGAACGGACGAGCCTAATCCAAACTTTTGGATGGCCTTGAAACCTTAGATGCTGTGGATGTATACACTGGTTACTTATAAGTGCTTCTCACGTTTGCTTCAAGGGTTAATGTTTTTGCACTGAGTTTCACACGATCTACATGAAAAAGAAAATAATTTTGTTTTAAATTATTCCTGCTTATTCATGTAATATCGATATCATATCACATCGAAAAGTAATAAAATCTTATTTCTTTTTTTAGCGATACTATAATCTGAATACAGGCTGATCATATTTAAGACAACCGGTTTGTGACTCAGGGGCTTAATTCATTTATTCATGTGCCTATTTTACGCTTATAATTGTGATTTATAAATACCCGTTGGAGAAACAGTCAGACACCATCGCGCTTAGACTGTGTATTCACTAACGAAGAATTCCTAGTCGACAACCTCTCAATCCTGGCTCCTCTGGGAAAAAGCGATCATGCCGTCATAGCCTTCAGTTTTGTCATCAAAACTAAGCTAAGGTATCCCAACAATAATTTGCGTTGGAATTTTAAACGGCTGAATGTGCGAGCTCTACATGACCATCTACAACAGGTGGCTTGGGATGTTCACCCTCAAATCGATGTGGATGGTCATTGGGACTTCTTGCTGCACACGCTCTTACGTGCTACAGACCATTCAGTTCCTCAAACGGTTCCCAAAAGCTGCAAGCCACCTACAGTAATCAAGAACCGTACCCTTCGCCTCCTAAGCCGCAAACGGCACTGTTGGGTAAAATACAAACGAACTAATAACGATGGAGCGTATAGGCAATACAAACATATCAGGAACACATGCACGAAGGCTATAAGAGAAGACAGGCTTCAGTACCAAACAAAGCTTATGGACAAATTCCCCTCTAATCCTAGAAGCCTATTCCGTTATGCAGCCTCTCTTCGTCAAGCCAAAACAGGAGTTTCTCAACTGCTAGGTCTTAACGGCCCGACCAACAACGATGGCGACGCCGCTAACCTTCTGGCGGCCCATTACTCTCAAACATTTCAACCGGCTGACATCAACTTTATTGACGACAGTTTCATCTCCAACTCCACAGGACTTTCTGAAGTAGACCTAAGCGCTGACTTGGTGTTCCGGAAATTGCAGCACTTAAGACTTGACACTTCTCCTGGCCCGGATATGGTTCATCCTGCCATACTGAGGGAGGCAGCCTCACTCCTGGCAACGCCGCTTAGCGTGATGTTTTCACACTTGCTTACCCGAGGCAAATTACCGGAAAACTGGAAGTTGGCTCACATCACACCAATTTTCAAAGGTGGTCGACGCAATGAACCTTCAAGTTACCGGCCGGTGGCTCTTCTGTCATTAACTTCAAAACTCATGGAGTCCCTGATATGCGACGGTTTAAATGACTATCTACTGTCCTTAAATTTCTTCTCACCCCAACAGCATGGTTTCAGGAAGGGTTACTCTTGTATAACCAACCTGCTGACTGCGGTGGACAGATGGACAAGCATCCTCGATCGCAAGGGAAAGGTTGATGTCATTTACCTTGATTTCTCAAAAGCTTTTGATAAGGTTAACCACTTGTGTCTTATCAACAAGCTCAAACGACTAGGTATCAAACCACCTCTAATCGATCGGCTTACTTCATACCTAAAAAATCGACACTTTAAGGTTAGGGTTAATTTCACTTTATCTCAGGCTATGGAATGTCTTAGTGGGGTCCCCCAGGGCTCAGTACTAGGGCCTCTTCTCTTCTTGATCTACATAAATGATCTTCCTCAACAGGTAACGTCAGACTTATTACTTTTTGCCGACGACGTGAAACTTTGGAGAGAGATACGCAACCAAGACGATACACAGGCACTTCAGGAGGATCTGACGCGACTTCAAAGTTGGGCAGACGATAACGGACTTACCTTTAACACTTCAAAGTGTAAAGTAGTCCATCTGCGACATGTCGCAAACTACAGTTACAACTTAGGAAACTCCTCTCTAGTAGTATCCCAAGTCGAAAAAGACTTAGGAGTCCTGGTGCCCCATGACTTAAAGTCTTACGCTAACTGTGACAAAAATGCCTTCCGAGCAAACCTTGCACTGGTAACGTTGAAGCGCATTTTCGGACAGTTTGACGGACGAACTTTCCACACAATGTTCAATAGTTTCATCCGTCCCCATTTAGAGTACGGAAACATAATACTCCCTCCCTCACTCCAAAAGGACAAGGTCACTTTGGAGCGTATCTAACGTCGAGCCACGAAATCAGTTCGAGGACTCAAATCTTAACCTTACGAAGAACGCCTCTATTCACTAGACCTTTGCCCACTAGAGTATAGGCGTCTTAGAGGTGATTTATCAATGGCTTATAGTATTCTCAACACTTCTGGACATCCTCTTAAACACCTACTTAAGCTTAGTTCGAATAATAACCTAAGGGGTAACACCCAGAAACTGGAAACACAACATAGCAAGACGGAATGTAGACACAACTTCTACTCCTTAAGAGTTTTCGAAAGCTGGAATTCGCTGCCGACTGAGCTAGTCCAAGCGACTTCTCAGGAGTGCTTCAAGAGGCAACTTGACCTATTCTTAAGGACCAAGGACAGCATCACATTATGATTTACCAATTTCTTTTCCTCTTTTATTGTTAACATACCTAGGTTCCTGCCTGGAGGATTTGGTGATCCCCTGCTACTAGACACGGAAGCCTGTTAAGCGAAAGCTTCTTCTATTCCGTCCACAACCATTTGAACCAAAATATAGCTTATATAGTTTCGTAATGTATCCCAATCTCCCTATTTTGATAGATTTCGGGTTCTCCCCAAAGTCCAATCGTCTCTCTCTGGAAGTGGGAGAACATTTGGGATTTTGTGCCATTTCCCCAAGATTTCCCCGAAATTTTCTACAGCGGCTTCTCCAAAATTGAGAGATTGGGATATCCGGCAAGACGACAATTTATGAACGAATCAATCAGGTATAAGATAACAGGTTTCGGACTACGGAGCGAAATTCACTCATTCATTTGGCTAGATAGAGTTTTGGTATTATAGCTAATGTCAGCTCGTGATGAAAACCCTAAATCTAATTCCTAACACTAACCATCGACTGTAAATCATATTTTGGTGGAGTTTTGTTCTCTGAGCTGGACGGTTTGGTCGTGGAGCTTTCATCGTTCTTCTGAACAACATCATTCACCTGAGCTACAAATCTTCTCCACCACTGTAAATCATAATTCGAACTCCTCACACTAATTTATAACCCTCATTTGGTCCTGGTTATTAAGTGGACATTCCTTAAGGTCACTTTAGCGTCGCTCAAAAGTTGTCATAAATTATAGTCTCACTGGATATCCTAGTTCTAGTTCCTAACTCTAACGTCCATCTGTAGATTCTTATCTTCGCTTCCAACAATAATTCCTAGCCATCAAATAACCCCTAGAAGTACTTAAACACTATCAAGGTCACTTAATCGCGGTACAGAGGTTGCCTATAAATTGTGGTATCATCACTTCCCTTTAATGTCACTGATCAATGGTGTACGATTGTATGTCTCAATCCTTATATGTATTTCGTATATCCATTTTTATTTAAAACTACTTTGGTATATTTTATGTATATATTTAGCACTAAATTATTAGCTAGCATGTGTTAGGTAATGTCTCGCATCGTGAGAATTAATACGTGTCTCTCGTCCTTCATTCTTCTCACTGAAAACATGGTGCCGGTTGATAGAAAATTATTAATTGTTTTAGGCAGTGTTTCCAATCTGGCTTTAGGGTTTTATGTTGGCAGACTATAATAACTCAAACATATAATAGATAAGATATTGTTGCGTTTTCTTACTTTTAATATACTTTTGGGTATAATGAACTGTTATTTTCATAGAATTTGTTCAATGTTACGTAAGATGTCTTCACATTGATGTCCTAAAATTCCCTTACCGACCAACTGCATAGCTTATTGTGCTCTAAATTTCATCCTTGATATTGTTATTTTCAAACTCCCACTCACTGTCTCCAATTGGTAACGTGAATTCTGTTAAAGAAGTGATTGTTTCTCAGCCAAAATCCGAGCAGACGAAACATTGAATTGAGAATTGTTAGTTCACAGTGACTCAGTTGCATTCAGGTTTTATTTTTCTTTAAATGATAAGTACTTTATTGTCCCGCCCACTTTCATTTCCCTTCTTTAACCCTAAGTCTTTTTCTCTCCTACCTGATTGATTTTATTTCTATCATTTTTCAGATTCACAATTTCCCCTGATTTTGATCCATTATCTTGACATAAATCATAAAAAGTCACCATTGCGTTAGATTTATCGGTATGTTGTTTTCTTCCTTCGTGTATTGTCCCAAATAATAAAATCTCAGGTCAGTAAGATGTCGTGCTTGCGTTGTATATTGTCCCATACAAACATGTAGTAGTATTTGCATGTTTCGTCCAACAGTGATTCGAGAACAACGTTCTCCGATTATTTGTCTTAGAAATGAAACTCTTGTAACAACCAGACTGGACATAAAAGCAAATCCCTAATATTCCTTCAGAATTCTTTTAAAAAGGTGGTCCATAGCAAGTCTATTACTTGAGCTATTACAAATTTATCATTTATATTATAAGAAGTCTACACAATACTCACTTTGATTAAACATTATGAAGTCAAGTCTTAGTGATGGTATTCATTGATGTTTTTTTACTGAGTGTGCAAATATATTCTAACTATTTCTTCTTCCCTTAAATATGTATATGTATTTTATCGCTTTCAGTTATCATCATCGCAGCCAGTTGTACAGTGATACTGAAGTTCGCACATAGAAATGGGTGTCCACTCATATTCATCTTTGTTTGAATATCTCAAAAATGTTGGTGTTCATATGCTTGACGAACTGTACACTCATCCTCCAACATGTCTTGTCGTTTTTAGAGAATTACCTGAACTAGCGAAACATTTTGTCATGCGACTTTTATTTATTGAACAACCAATACCGAAATCCATTGTCTTTGGGTGGGTTGAAAAGGGTTCTAGTGCACTTCTAAATGACTCATGTAAAGCTTTGACTGATTTGAGAATATGGCATTCTACAGACAGTAATGTTTCTCGAGGCTCTTGGTCGTTAAATAAAAAGTATCAAGAGTCGATTCGGATATCACTGTTTGGAGGGTAGTCTTTGTTCATTTTCTAAATCTTTATGATTAAATTACAGTGGAAAACCCTTACTTGGAGATTTAGGCATAGTGACAAACGATAAGTACTCAAAAAGTGTTGACTTTTTAAAATCGTATGCAGCTGAACGTTGGGATGTGAGTTTACGTGTGAACTAATTTCCTTTCTCGCAGGCTATACTTCACTTTATGGTAGGTTCTGAATCAGCGGAAGTTGGAAGTGTTGTGAAGGATGTCCTTTTATTGTCCAATTTAATGAAATGGTATGTTCAAATTTCTAACAGTGGATATATGTTCATATACACTAACTGTCAGTGAAGGTAATGATTGTCCAATCGGTATCACAAAGCATGGGTTCCATTTCTTGCTTATGAGTCGACAGTTTCAAGTGCTAGTTTTCATCCTGCACTACTTTGACTACTTAAAGGTAATTCAGCTACTAACTGTGCTCTATTATTTTTTATTGTAACAGGAAAATAGTAAAAATCTAGTTGGAGCCCTACAGTTCGTTTTCCAACTTAGTTTTTTGTGTCCGACAAAGGTGAGCTTAATTGCATTTGTTTTATAAGGTTAATATGCACTGGACCCAATAACTGTACACACTTTCTTGTCTTAGGTTGTAGGTCACACATATTTTGTTGTGGGTAATTATTATATTCATGCACTAGGTTTATGTTCCACAACTCCAACTTCAACACAGTGAATAAAACTACTACTATCCTCTTCTTACTTACCCTTCTAACTAAAGTAGGCCCATTTTTGTAATGGAAGCTTTGTTGGTGATGACCCACCCCCATTATAACTAAAATACATGTAAGTTAATCGGTTACACATAGATTACAATGATTATAGTTTACTAGCTGGGTAATTGTCACCAAAAATATATAATGAAAATTCATTGAAAGTTCTTAAAGTAATGTAACGAAAATGTGCTGGAAGTTGGCCTTACATTCATTTTAAATCTATATTGACTTTCTTCCTTACAAGTTGTATTTGGGTATTCCGAAACCCCTAAGACTAAGTTCATTAGTTTCTTAGCGAGAAACCAGTATTTATCTTCTACGAAATATTTTCTCTCATTGACACTAATGTCATTACACAGACAATTGATAATAGTATACGCAGAGCAAAATAAATGACGGGTAATTATATTGGTATCAATACTAATGTAAAAGTCGAGCTTTTGATGGGAATCATAAGGTATGAATCCAAACATAGAAGTCAAAAGAAAAGCCAAACGCGTATTCTAAACTTGCCTACAGTGAGAAGAAATTTTATTACGTGGCATAAATTTGAGCTAGTTGACCACTTAATTTATCGTAAAAGTCTCATTATCCATAAAAATTTGATGGCTAGTAAAATCTAGGCGTGAGTTTAGAAAGCTACTTTAGCCCCTACAAGCAATGGTAGCTTCATCATTTTGTTCATCCCAATCCTGTTGACAAAGAATTCTTCCAGATATTCGTTCCACATTTTCCTGCTTTTGAAAATCACTTAACCTCACCTTTTAATTTCTACTAGTTAGACGTTTATTTCAAAGTTTTTTGACATTGTGAAGCAACAATTACCTACAATGTGGTTGGATATTTTCAAAATCTCTATGTTGTTTTTATACATATTTCGATATCATTTTCAAGGTGCTCATAAGTAGTTTGCTTTTTACTGACATTTTGTGAGATGTTTCGTAATTTGTAATTCACGCTGTTAAACTCATGAGTCGATTGCGAACCTGTATGTACTGGACAGCAGCTTCACCCTAGTATGGGACTCCTCCGCAGTGCTCATCCATGACCTTACCCGCGGGGTCCGAACCTCAGACCTTTGGTCCCGCGCGCAAACGCTTATCATCTAGACCATCGAGCCGGCGTCCAGCAGTCTTAATATCTAAATCCAGTCTATCCATAATCTTGCGCAACCCTTCATCCATTGTTTGAAGTAGATACCTGTCTCTATCTAACACGGATCGGACTTCACTGATCAAAGCATCTCACTAGAACTCTAGAAGTTCTATCTTGAAGCTAGTCACTAGTGATCACATGATTGTTATTAATATTGGGATTTGTGGAGATTGCATTATTTTCACAGTGCGGGATCGTGGATACGTTCTGTGGAGTAGTCCCATACTGGGGCGAAGCGGTCGTCTAGTACATCCAGATTCTCAATGGTTGTCTAGCTTAGATCGACTCATGAGTTCAATAGTGAAAATGTTATAATCTCCGCAAATTGATTCTCTCTTCGCTAGTGTTTGAGTTTTTATAATATTTAATAAATCTCATTTCTTGATTGTATTTATTTCTTCCTAATTATTTCTCTTATGTTTAGTCTTCTGCTAAAATCGATGCTACTTTTCCACTGCATAGTTTTCTTTATTTCTTATTTTTATGTTCTGATGTGGAGTATTTTACTTAGATCCTGTATTGTTCATGAGTAGTGATTAACTCGTATATTATCTAGTGTCAATCGTATTTAAGTAACTCGAAGGAGAATCCAGTGTCGATTTTTCCACAATTTACTATCGTTTATTTGTTTTATTCGTGGAGTAATTTTAATAAAAGATGTAGGAGAATTTGTCGCATTTATTCGGTGTCACTATTTGTTTCTCTCTAGTCATCCTGTTATTCTTTATCTATTTCTCATATTACTTAAATGGTACTGTGATACTACTTTATAATATGCCTCGCTCTGTATATACTTTGTTCCAGATTTAACCTCAAAGCAATATTTTCTTTTAGATAAATATACCCCTTAACAGTTGAGGACGTAGTTAGCAAAGTGAACGACTAGAAAGATTGTTACGTTCCTAATAAACAACTGTTAACTGTATCATATATAGATTTTCTCTAATCTCCTCAAAAAACTTTTGTTTGTTCTGCATTTGTTTAGTTTCCTAATTTAAATAGTTTCGTGATAATATCCTAGAAAAATGGAACATTTTTTACATTATATCATTAACATTCATCTAATGAATAACACAACCTTTAACTTTTTGGACGCGATCTATCTCTCAATCTCAATAATTAATAGTTGCCATAAAGTTCTTAGATTACTAGTTCCTGACATGCCTAATGTATTGTATAATTATTGTTTCGTATTTCAGGAGTATTTTCTATATTGCGTTTCTGTTTTCACTTTCACTGTAGAGCTATCCAGTAGAGGCACTGAGTACTGCCCAACAGGAAGTATTACAACATATGCGCGAACTCGGCTTAGCTTATCAACGAAAGCGTACAGCGCCTCGTTTTTATGTAACTCCTCTTGCTTTGGATGTAGCTGGAGGTCATACTACTTTCTTGGAAAGTAAATCAGGTGGATGGGGTCCACAATTAGGAGTTATTCCTACTGGTGTCTCAAAAACAGATCCCACCGATGGCAACAAAATGTTTTCGCAAATTTCAGTATCGAATTCTTCTGATGTTGGTTATATTTTGCTAGAAACCAATTTCCGACTATACGCCTATACTGGTAAGCGAGCAATTTATGTTTTTCAACTGCTTAAAAAAATATTATTGTGTTAAAAAAGATTGAATCGTACTGCAATTGTCCATCTGATTGGTGAATAGATGAGAACAATTGTGACAGGTAATTGAACGTCTTCCACCTGATCAGTATTCGTTGTAATCAATTTTCATTAATTATCCAAACATTCTACGGACATTACATTTGCCTCTGTGATTCTCATCAAACAATTATATGGATATATAACTGTTGTTTAATTGTCAGTAAGATTCTCAGTCCCGTGCTATAGTTTGTAGTTGATTTATACATTTTTCAGGTTAATCATCTTCATATACGAAATATTTACATCTCCACTCTTTATGACTATTGTTATTATTAATAAAATTGTATGTTAATTGCGTTTTACTATGTTTTCATATTTATGTCAGAATTTATTTCTCTTTCGTAGATTCACCGCTTCGTACCGCTCTTCTTAGTTTATTTAGCAAAATACGTGCACGTTTTCCTAATCTTGTTGTTGCTGATATAACTCGTGACTCAGTTCGTGAAGCATTAATTCGTGGAATAACTGCAAATCAGGTAAGTTTTAATAATATTCCCATTTTAATCTTAACCAACTTAATTTTATAGATTCTATCTTTCTTAACAACTAATGCACATCCAGATATGTTATTACAGGTAAATTTTGTTTGTTGTATTTCCTTACTGTAAGTTATTTTCTATGTTGTATCGAAATCTCAAAACAGATAGTTAACCATGTGTAAATTGTCAAGCGTAAGATTTAGTAATTTTGACGGCATTCTTACATTCTCTAAGGTTTCGTGCATATGTTAGTTTTGAATATTTATGGAAGAAATATGCAAATGGCCTGTATAATAGTTAGTTTTTAAAATAAACCATTTGATGTATAGAGATCAATGATTTCTATGTTAAATGTTTAGAGGCAGTCGATAAAGAGCCCTGGACTAGTTTATATTTATCACCAAGGCTTATCTGTACTATTATTATTATTATCAGCTTTATTCAATATTATATTTTTGGTACAATATAGAATTCTCAGCGCAAAGTATTTCAACAAGTTTCCGTTTCTTTCTTCTTGGTCGGTCCTGGCGATAAATATTGAGGGATCGCCAGTTAGATGTTAGCACTTCAGTGAATGAACAACTGAATAATGTACATTCTTTTCGTTGTATATTGCCAGCAACCATATTGTCTCTTATTGAGTTTTCTGTAACTTTGACAACGAAAGGTTGTACACTTTTCAGAAACGCAGCAGAATAGTTTATGCGATTAATAAACATAATGATATATTAAAACAAACAAAAATAGATAACTTGTTGAAATATCTAGATGGCAGGAGCAGGTAGCCCAGATGCTCAAGCAGGCCGCCCTTTAAGTGAATCGTTTTTCTCTGTAGAATTCAAACTCCTATCAGCCAGTATCATATAGACGTTATCAATGATTAGTTTAGGCGTTGTTTTCGGTTACTTCTGTCACGGAATTTCTGGTTTTGGACTCAAGCTGAAACATATTTAATGAATACCTAAGATTACCACACAAATCGACAGCTTCGTGACAACCATGATCATATGTGATGGGGAACATCAACTCCGTCTACTTTTTATATTGAATATCTCATAAATAGATTCCTGTCTCGCTAAATTTTAGTCAGATGTAACATATGGAGCCCTACCATTCCAAATAAACGTTGACGATCAACTGAAGCATCTTGAATAACACCAACCAGATGGGGTTGAGTCCGTCTCCAACACCGTAGCTAACGTCTTAAGAAACTTAACTGCCAAAAGTGACCCACCATACTTCAAGAGTTTTCTAAAGCAACTTATCAGGCCTTTTCCCTTCAATTTAGGTACGTTTTTAACCTTACTAAAATTTACGAGACTTGTTTTACTTTCCATTCCAGTTTATATATGAGTCGAAGTTAACTAATGAATAGCTAAGGGCCAGTGGAATCGTCCTTTACTGTTCCGCCCACCGTTCTAATGTCCTATAAGGGATGGATCACCGTATTGTCTTTTCCTAAAATAATCTGACAACAGACTTCTTTTCTTCACTGTTCATCGTAGTCTGAGGCAGTTTGAATGACTTTACGAGCGTCCATTACTTGAAAACTAAGCTTATATTCGTTTTCAAATTAGACATAACTTATAAAATGTACACTAACTCCATTTACTGTTTTTTAATTGTACTACAGAATCCTATATTACCGCCTACTTTAACCGATCAAATACGACTATGGGAATTAGAACGAGATAGATTTCTATTTCAAGAAGGCTGTTTGTATGAACAATTCTCTCGGAATACAGATTTTGAAATGGTTCGGGATTATGCTAAAGTAAATTTGTGATTATTTTTTTTGTTAATGGAGGCTTTTTCTTTATCTTTAGAACATTGGTGTTTTACTCTGGGAAAATCCTGAACGAAGACTTATGGTTGTGTCTAAAGCAGGTCATGAAGATGTACGGAAATTTTGGAAACATAAACGTCCATCCTAAAACTTTGTCACTGTTCAATTTTCTTTTTCTACTCCAGATTATATGTACATATATAATTAGACATTTTCATTTTTATTCTAACAGTATTTGTTGAAGAATGATTTTTCAGCAAAACTCCATGATTTGTTATTTTTAAACTTAAAACTCTGCTACTTCCGTTTTTTAACCAGTTTGATGAAATATCTAGAGAAGTCACGCAGCAATAATAGTTAAACAAGATATTCATATACATGGAATAAAATGAAAACTTGTTTAGCTTACTTGTTTACTTTCGTCACAGTGTTTGTCCTCTTATTTTAGGAAGTTCTTATCGAAATAAGGTTTAGTAAGCTTCCATTATTGGATTCGTGCGACTAGGTTTTGGTATATAAATATATGACCTTCCACAGTCAATGTACATAATTTTTACTATAAAGATTTTTATTCCAGAAACTATTACGACGAGTGCATTAATTCCATTTCAGTAATTATAATTCAATTTGTAATACAATCAGTGAAGTTAAAACTTCTGATGGACGAAGTAAGTTCTTTAAATCTACTAACTAATAAAAGTTTCTTACCAGTGAGTGACTACGCAACTGAACTTCAACACTATTATTGAATAATTACTAAATCCAATTAAAAGATGTTGTTTACAACTTACTTGGATATGCATTAAAATCAAATAGCAGTTGACACTTGTTCTACCGAAACTCTTGATTTCATAGTTGATCAAATCTTTGTTTTTAATTAAATTTACACAGAGATGTATTTAAATATAGCTTTCTAACTGCAGACTGTGTCTTCCTACCCTTCAGTAGATTATATTCGAATAATTCAAAAATAATTCTAACGTACTCAAGTTTAAAAACTACAGAAATTTAGGAAAAATAGAATATCCATGTTAAAATAAACTATCATTTCACTGTATGAAGTCCTCACTAGCTAGAGATCTATTAAGAAGTTTAGCTATACAGTATTTTAAGTAAGCTGATTTGTTCTAAAACAATAGTTCCTACTAAGTAAATATCGGTAATCGAAATACAATTATCCTACATTCCCATACAAAATTCATAATCACTTTATTGACTGCAGAGATTCAACTTTTAGTTTTATGTTGAGTAATCTTATCAACTGACATATGTGTAGGCGAGGAGAATGTTTGCTCAGTCTGGCAAATTGGTGTAAGGGAGAAAACCAAGCGTTACTTCAGTGGCAATGGTGGTTAAAATGGACCTAGGCTCAAATTTTCAGTTAAAGTGGATTTTATATCAACAAAATCGATCATCTGACATCATTATTGAAACAGCGAAATGTTGGTCAAGAATATGTCGGTATCTTCGAAAACTCATGACTTCAGATACTATCGCAAATTCACTCAGTGCGTTTATATTTGATTCAGAAAGTGGAATTTTTAGGCGTGGTTTAAGCGCCATGAGGATCTGTTTATTAATGATTGTAAAGAGTGAGACAAAAGCCCAAAACAGACTATTGTTACGAAAACTCGGAATTCCTGAACATGAAAAGTTTTGTAATTTTATTCTCCCAAATAAATCAGCCAATCTAACTTTCCGAGAAACGTATAGTTGGTGAACGATCAGGAAAATTTCACACTAGATACCAGGGTCTTCAGCTTGTAAAAGGTTTACGGTACTATTACGTGGTGTATGCCAGTATCGTGGATCGGGAATGTGAGCAGTTCCATCTACAGAAATTGTCTTCAGACCAATTTGAATGTTCTGTCTTTGTGTGTAGATTACGATCTTCCCACTACTGCAGAGTCGCATATTTGGACGAAACGGCCTTCATGCGCTTCCAGGTTTTCAATGGTGGTCTAGATTTAATCAACTCGAGATTTCAACTCTGGAAATTGAATATTTGTGAAAGAACCTCAGAAATTAGTAAGACAAAGGCCTGGTAACATTATAGAGATTATTGTCACGGAATATAAATCTTTTAGTATTATTTCTAATATTTTTATAGCATGGATTACGCGAATATGGTACAATCGAAAACTATTGTTAGACATGTGTTATGAATGACTTAAGTAGCCTACGTACATTAATACGTATGTAGTTTAATTTTCACGATAAATCAAACTTGTTTTGTCTGTACTATTGTTTTATTATCATCGTTATTATTATTTTGAAATTACTACCAATTTTTATTGTTTATAAGTAACAATTTGCATATATTTCTTGTTGATTAATTGTAAGAACTGTCTACTTAATCCTGTTCATATATAATTTGAACTTTTATGAATGTAGAAAGTATTTACGATTACTTGAACCAGTTAACTGACGTTTTCTCATGTATGTTTTTTACAATTATTTTTTATTTATATATGGAAGATTTAAGAAATATGACATGAGATAAATTCACTTCAACTAGGAGTATTTGGTGTGTTTCTGTTTGATGAGGAACATTTATTAAAAGAACTAGAAGATCTAAGGGTAGTAAAAGTAATATATTTATGAACTCCGATATCATATCATCCATTTGATGTGTGGAAATCGTATGTTAATGTTATTTTGTTCCGTTTCTCCGTCTAAACCAATAAAACACTAATTTGCCTTAGACGAATATCGTAATCTACACACAAAGACAGAACATTCAAATTGGTCTGAAGACAATTTCTGTAGATGGAACTGCTCACATTCCCGATCCACGATACTGGCATACACCACGTAATAGTACCGTAAACCTTTTACAAGCTGAAGACCCTGGTATCTAGTGTGAAATTTTCCTGATCGTTCACCAACTATACGTTTCTCGGAAAGTTAGATTGGCTGATTTATTTGGGAGAATAAAATTACAAAACTTTTCATGTTCAGGAATTCCGAGTTTTCGTAACAATAGTCTGTTTTGGGCTTTTGTCTCACTCTTTACAATCATTAATAAACAGATCCTCATGGCGCTTAAACCACGCCTAAAAATTCCACTTTCTGAATCAAATATAAACGCACTGAGTGAATTTGCGATAGTATCTGAAGTCATGGGTGTTTTCTAAATTAAATTATTGTAAGTCATTTGTGTCCAGTGCTAATATCTAATTATGACAACAAATAGATCATTGAACTAATATACTACTTTTTTTTCTTAAAATATTCGAAATATTTAGTAGTTTTAAGTAGTTGTTTAAACAAATATTTTATAAATATATAATGGAAGAAAATAGGTTAAATAGAATAGTTCGTCAAACAAATTAATAATCGTACCTTGTTTCTAAAAAAAACTCTTCCGGTCCCCCACATTGTACGAGCATTCCATGTACCTATATTCATGGTTGCTCTGGTTTTCAGAAGAGGCCTCATGACTTCCGAAGTAATTCGGCTTTCATCGTGAGGCGTCATAACTCTTCTGAATGATGATCTAACTCCCTGGGCAGATTTTAAGTAGTTTGAATAATCTTTTCTGGCTAGCGTTGGGTTGGATCGCTAACACGATGCTCAACCCTCCTCTGTTATCTGGGCTTGAGACCGGTAGTAACCCAGGAGGCGCTCCAGGTGGATACTTAACTGTTTCTAACTACTTTGTAGTTTCACTGGTTGAAATCATGAGTCAATCGAAGCTAGACCACTACTGCTTACTTCTTATAATTTTATAGAAAGAAACAGATCGACTTTTCAGTCGATGTTGGTTTGTATTGGAAAAATCTCGGAGAAATCGGACATCATCCCTAAAAACGTATCTACATAAATTGGTTGAATTTCTGAACAGTGTATGGTATTAAAACGTTATTTTAAAGGGAATTTACATATGTTTATCAATAATAAAGACTGAGAATTATTGTTGACCGACAAAATAATGGAAAGTAGAACTATTTACATTAGATATGACAACTTTCAATCATTTATAGTTATACATATATATTTCGTTGATAAACATTTTTAATCGATACCTGTTATGGAACAACAAAAAATAGGGTCAGTTTATAATTAATGTTACATGAAAAAGTTGACGTATGGTTTGAATTAAATAGAATTAATAGTGATTATCAGGTTGGTCTTCTGTTAGTGTGTATTATACAATACGTTTTTAGGTCATCACTTATATGCAAGGTTTACGTATATAAATATTCATAAGACAAATGTACTCACTCAGTAGTTAGGGCATTTAAAGAAAGTTATAAATGAATATTAAAATATGATATTAAAAAAATGCCAAGTAATTCTGAAGTACATTTTCCTATATCCTTCAAACTGCTGGAAGTAGATTAGCTATAACACATTTAATACGAACAATACACTAATTTGGCTTTAATATAATTGAAATTTGTACAGTAGACTAGTCATATGATTTGACAAGAATAATTGTAGTTAGCTACATTACAAATGACAAGAACTAATGTGCATGAAATCCTTTGGTTCTAAACGTTTGTTTCCTATTATTAATTATTAGTATAAATTCTAATTTGATCTCGAACGGTTTATATTCGAATCGAATTCATCTTAATCAACCTGTACTTCCATTATTATGAAATAACTCATTGACTAACCGATATGATATATTCCATGTATTTATAGTCTGTGTACTTTCAAGGGGGAATTACATTTTATATGGTGTATTGCCGCATACTGTAATGAAAAATTAATTCATACAGGGTAACTCTAATTTGCGTCACAATATCTGTCAACATCTTATCATGAACAAAAATTTTATCACGGAAAATTTTTATGTTATTACGTTTTAGATTCATTTATTTATTCCAGCACATAGACATTGGTACAAGGAGGCACCAAATACATATGCGCCACGCAAATTTCACCCTATATGTGTGCGGGCTGCGATACTGCCCGGGTGCCTAAGCCGAAGCAGGTGGTTTTCCTAGGGGGGCCACTGCCCGAGCTTTCGACCTGAAAGTCTGATCCACACGGCAGTGGAGCATCGTAAGGAGATGCAGTCCCATGGTAGCCGGTGACCAACGATTGGTTCACACGCCATTTGTTCCCGCAGGATACTGGAGCCCATGTGCACCATTCGTTATGGATCCGGTTAAAGCGCCCGACGTTCGCTTTTCGTCCTCTCAATTTAGTAAACAACGCTTTAGAAGATGCTCTTAATAAATTTTTTGACAAAATAATTGGGATTATTTTATTTTATACCATTTGAACACACAATTATCCTAATTTTTAAAGATAGCATAACAAAGAAAGTAATTCATTATGTCAATTCAAATATTTAAACTAATTGATTGAAGTTAGACATTAACACCGGTGGATGTTGGCTCAATAGTCAGGAGGTTAAGGATTTCCACGCGAGACCAAATGTCCTGGGTCCGAGTGCCGTGTGCGGAATCGTGGGTTTACACTTCTGAGGAGTCGCATATTAGAAAGAAACGGCCGTCATGTGAATTTCTTAGTGGTGTAACATTGATCTGTTCATGTCCTTAATTAAGAGAATGAATATTTGGCTAACTCAACTTATTGTTCGAACAATGAAATACATATTTGAATAGTAAAATATGAATAAATGAATATTTAATTAACTCTATATAATCAAAAAAGGTATCCTTCAATGTAAGACCTAATGTCTTACTGTCATGTCAGCATACCATACTAAAACATCATAAAGCGGTATACTGATTAAAATTTTTATAGGTCAGACAACCGTAATAACAGAAAATCAACGTAGTAAATAACAGAATAATTGTTGATACATATTAACTAGGCAGAAAGTAATTGGGCTAAAGATTTACGTATATGTGTACTATAGTTATTTTTATTTAGAATTTAGTCACCTACATTATTCAGTCATTAATTCGTAATACCTTGAAAGCTACTACCAAACGGTAAATAGATTCAGACTGATAGACACCAAATGAGTAAGTTCGCTCAACGTTAATTCTGGCTATCCCGAGACTACTAACGATATACTTTTAACTGAGCTAGTCTTTCAAATGAAGCACAATGGATCCATCACGTAATTTAGATTAGGTTAACAAAATTCTTGAATAGATAACAACTAGTCTACATAAGTTACTCAGTGGCTATGTCAGTCGTCATTATGCCTTAAAGATTATTTTGATCCTTCTTATGATTTTATCAGCTAGTGGTTCATCATGGCCAAAGTAACTCGATAAATATCTTAAACGCTCAACTGATGTACCACCTATGTACTCACCCCTTCTAGATAATGTATTTCTGTAAAATAGTCCATGAACACCATATTATATACAACAAGATTCAGATTTATGTTAAACACTATTTGATTTTTCGCTCAAAAAGATAATTAATGTTTGCCTGATATCATTTTACTTACCATATTGAATTCGGACATCGAATCTTGAACCAATAAGTGAATAAAAAGAATGAGTGCAGTTTATCATCGTTTACCAATCATATGTTTACGTAAAATTGTGATGAATATCTTGTACAGTGAATGAATAAAAACGACCAATTCACATCTCTTCAACACAAGATGGATGCGACGTGAAGCACAAATATTAACCACGATTTTCTATATACCGAACGATTTTATTGTCTTGAAATCATTTTTATTGTAGCGATGTACACCATTATTTTCTCACATTTGAAAATTAATAACTGTGCTAAAGATGTGACCTTTGGATTCTAGATCAGAAAGTACGAAGATTTCCCAGTCAGCGTAAATCCTGGCACAAATGAACATTGGTCCAAGTTGCCATATCACACTGATATGATTAGATGAATGCTAAAGGAGCGAAATACTCATAGCAGTAAAGACAGTGAGAAAATTAAAAGTTGAGAATATATTTCGTAAAGACGAAATGAAAAGGAATGAATGAAGGATTACTGGAACTCAAAATCTAAGGATAAATAGTAAATACATTCGCGAGCAATATCATCGCGAAGACTATAACCAGGTAGTCTGTACCCATCAATATGACCCAGATCAACACCCAACGACTTCATATGCTGATGCTGTTTTAATTTAACCACCTCTAGCTTACTTCCAACTTACTCCCTGTCGATGTATCATAATTTATTTCAAATCATGATTAGAACCGTATGATGAATTTATTTGAAATAAGTACTGTTTGAGGTTGGGTGGTAATGAAAAAACTAATTAAAGCTACGAACATTGATAAGACGGTAAGATGTTTAGCTGTATATTCTGCGCTCTGATAAACAATTTAGTCGCGGAAGAACTAAGAATGGGAACTATTTTGTTCTATCCACATTCACACTGGTCGTTAAAAACCAGAAATTGCAGTCAGTGAGTAGAAGAAATCGTAGTAAATTTGACAAATAAATGCTTTCATTGTATTTTCCATTTACGTCATGAAAAACGTTGTTCTTCCCAGTTACTAGATATACTTAAGTAGAAGCGAACGTTATTAGTTTATCCTCCTTAAGATCAAATACCCAAATAATAGTCGTATATCTGTCAATCATGAATTTCGAGATAAAATTTCCCAATTTTCGTGGGTGACCAGTAACCGACAGTGTCCAACCGAATGGAGGGAGGAATAATTATTACCGACAGCATCAGGTGACAGGCATACTGTATCGTGGATTGACTGAAGTTGGAAATGTACATTATAAATTTCCAACTTAATGATCTGAGGGTATAATGATCCACAAAATACCGAGGTTTGATTTATGTAATTTAGTGAGTACTAGTGGGAAGTAGCAAGCTAGGAGTCAGTTGTTCAGTGCTCTTCGGTTATTGATATTTTTTGTCGAACGTATTAGAAATTAATTCGTTAAATTTGATAAGCTTCTTCAGCTGAAATACCAGTCACATTGTTGTATAGGATGTACAGACTGATGATGAATACAGTCTAGATGAAAGGAACTAGTTACAAAAATGATCCAATGGATATAAATACAAGACTGTACATGATTTATATCGATGACTTCAGGTTATTGGAAGCCTTTTTCATCACTAGTTAACATCAGACATGAAAACTATTGGAAACTAGGATGTACTCCAATTCAAAATTTCTCAGAATCAGACACCTATAATTCATAAGTGAATGATACACTTTCAAATTTAACAGTGACTACAATACAATTTATCCAATGAGCAAAACTTCATTAGTTCGTTTAATACGCGATAGGCTGATAATACATTTCAAAGCAAATTAACAATTCACACCTGATTATTACTGAATTTGACAAAAGCAAATATTTTAGTTTAATTTTTGTATTTGGTTCAATGCTCTACGATTTATAAATGTCCTCTCCAGTTGATTACAAAGTGCGGTGAAAACCATACTTACTTAGTTACGCCTTATTAGTAGAGCATAGGCCACCTACAAGCATTCTCCATCTAACTTTGTCCTGGGCAATCCTCTCCAATTGCTATTCATTCTTTTCATATCTGCTTCCAATTCTTGACGCAGTGTGTTAATCAGCCTTCTTCTTATCCGCTTCCCATCAGGATTCCAAGTTAGGGTTTGCCTCACGATACATTTTGATGATTGCCGTAATTTATATCCTATCCACTTCCAGTCTTTTCCCAATTTCCTCTTCCTTTTATTCAAACAGTACAAAGTATTTAATTCAATTTGAAATCGATTAGACAATCTTGTTGTTGACATTTTTAAAACACGCGTTCTTCAATCCACTGCTAGCCATATTCCATCTATTCTATAGTACAAAGTATTGTTAAGAAGATAAAGGTGTATTGTGTAGTAGTGTTAGTGAATCTTTGTCAACAATTACGTAATTGAAATTCTATCACTACTTATAACAGTGACAATAGGTATATTATAGTAATTCATATTATTAGCATTATTACTATTACCATACAAATAATGATGATGACAGGAATGTCAGTCTTTTTGGTCAAAAAAGAATCTAATATTATTATCCATAATTGGGTTAAACTGTATCAGTTTACTATACTACCATAACATCGCTTAACAATGATAATACTACCATTAATGTTAATAATAAATGTCAATACGAACCCCATACTAAATAACAGCCATACAGTTATGATAAAAGATAAGACATAGAAAAGTAACAGTGATTTGTTCCGAAATGATTTATGAAAAGATATGCACAGTGCTTTTTACTTATTAAAAACGTGCTAAAAATATGTGTAATTTTTAAGACAGAGAAAAAAATTAAGGCACTTTGACCAAGCTCAATGAATAAAAAAACAGTGCAAAGAAAATTCTATCTGTGTATGACTCTATAGAAGTAGAAATAATAATTTGATTACCAGAAAAAAGTGAGTAAAATAATACACAAAAAAAGTTATTGAATTTCATTAGGAAAAGACCAATATTAATGAAAGCATATGGTAAACAAATTAATAACAAATTAATCGGATGTTAGCTTATTTTTCTCTTTTTATTGATTCATGTCTCCCAGTCTGAGCCATCTGAGCCAATATCACCTGGTACAGAATTGGCATCAGATTCTTCTCCACTATCATTACTACACATTCTGTTACGTCGCATTTCCATTGCTTGAGCAAGTGATTGTAATAAATCGAATCCTCCTCCACCGGCAGTTGGATTTGCGCCAGTACTACTACTTCCACTATTGCTATTACTAGGTTTCACAGGTGGCCTAGACACACCTTCACCAGGTGTAATCTGAAGTATAAAAAAACAACAAATACAAATAAGGAAGAAATAATCTGTTTATACTAAACATCTATCATGGAACAAAAGCAAAACAATAAAGAAAGACCATAAGTCAATCTATTGGTAAATATTGCCTAATACAGTTTTCATGAAGGCTAATATTAATGAATGGATTAGAAATTCAGCGAAACAAAATCAAAGTTCACCACTTTTATTTCATTTTATTATGCAGAATTCAAGTTGTTTAATGATTGTAATCAATGAATATATTTATTTGAAGCACTGTAATAGGAATAAAATCCTACATTGTAATAATGTAATGAACGGATGATAACGCAACTATGTCCAAGAATAAATTAGTTCATAGTCAATAATTTTTACACACTATTTACTTAGTTTACACATCTAATAATTTAGAAAAAATGGAAATATGTCTTCTTTTAACTAATATAAAATGCGGATAGTAAAAGGTGTACATTAAATGTAGAAACAGCACCAAGCATGTACACTGTGAAAACTACGTCAATAGGTAGATGTGTGACCACGGTCACAATGTGGGACAAAACACAACCCTAAGCAGCAATATTTCTTTCAATCATGTGTGGAGCTGGGAATTCAATCACAAACAGCTTCCAGACATTAAAATACATATCCTTATCACTTGTACTTACTGTTTAATAAGCTAATATCTACAAATATCAATGAAATCTTATTTTTAAACAAGTAAGAAACAAATATACTACTCTGTTACGGACGCTATTTAACTCAAGGGCCACATAAAGCTGCTATATGTGAAGTTATCGGGTTCTACGTTGCATATGACCGACTAACTCTATTGATTCGGCAAAGAATATTGACGCCAAAGAGTACTTTCTGCTGTAATTTCCCAGAAAACTATCGTAAAGATAAAATAATAAATGTGACCTTGTGTACTTTTGAATTTAAGACGATGGAATCTTAGAGAGTGAACAAACTGGGAAGTTGGTTTCGTGTTCACTAAAAGTGAAATATCGGAAATATGAGAATACTACTGTGCAGCAGTCCTTTCAGTATTCATTTCATGAATATAAAAGATGAATTCTGTAAATTCAGTATAGTTGAATATATTATTATTTTACTAATTTGACAGAGGCTATCTTTTCAGTCCTAATAGATGTCAACTAAACAACTAAAGTAACTAGGATACCTATATTTCATAGTTACATTTACCCATCATTTATATAGTCATAAAGATTTAAGATAAAATAAAAACTGAATTACAGGTGGATTGAATTTGTAAATTCCAAGTTTGATAATATAAAAAGAATAGCTTCAAGATTCATATGATAACGTATTTAATTTTATTACAACATCTAGATGACAAGATGAACAAACATTCATGAGAACTAATGCACTGAAATAGCTCACTTTAAAGTTTTAGCAACTAATCCAAAAACTGTTAATGAACATATTTTGTGCTCAAGATTGAAGGTTATGACATTTTTAAAATGTATTTCTGGAATTGCCAAGATAGAAATTTGCATTCCATGAAGCGTATTTGATATAAAGTAGAATAGCAGCGGCAACAATAAACATGTCTCTAATGGAAAGTATTGAGTGCATAAGATTAGAATGGAATTTGTATATCATCCCAGGACATAACAGCCGGTGAGGAAGTGTTGGATACAACCTCGGCGAATGATGATACTCGTGTAGTCCTAGTGTACTTTTGTATGAGAACCGGACAGTTGCTAAGCCACGGTAGACCTCAGGATGTTAAAGGTAGTGGAGAACTCATTTCTGTAGCTTATCAAAGTACTTTTACAGACCACTTAGAATGTCATTAAATGCAAGTGAAAGCTGTTTGACAACTAACTCTTAGTCGTTAAAGAAAAGAACTGGAACCCAAGATTCTTATAACTTTAAAAAATATTCATTAACATAATCAAATTGAAATGGTAAGTGAATAAGTAAAAAAAGAAAAGAGTGAATCGATAACAAGAGAGGTGACGATATACAGAAACTCACCTTACGTAGGTTGCTTTTTTGAAAGGACATAATCTGTGATTGAAGATCAACAGTAAGACCTGTCGTAGACTTTGGAGGAGCATTTGATGTGCATTCTTTCTCAGCCTCAGTGGTGGGACATGCTGGAGGAGGTGGTGGAGGAGCAGCTGCGGGACTCGGGAATATGGGTGGGGGAGGTGGTGGCGGTGGAGCAGGGATTTCATAAAGAGGGGGTGCAGGCAGGATAGGTGGTGGTGGAGCGACTGGCTTAGGAGCTACTTGTGGAACAGGTGGTGGGGGTGGGTGTTGTATTGTAACCGACTGGGAAGGTGTAACAGAACCAAGATTTTGTCGACGGGGTGCGGAGGGTGGTGGAGGTGGTGGTGGTGGTGGTCTAGGAGGGGGAACATTAGTAGCTGGTATGTTACGTCTATCACTCTGAGAACCGGCCAGTTGTCGTTGTATCTAAAAATAAAAGAAATATGTATGATAAATTAGGCATAAGTTAAAACAAGTATATATTCCTAGTGACTGAAAAGGGTGCTATGAAATGCATACAAAAATTATTATGGAATATTTTCAGACCATATTACTGATAGACAGGATATTAATGGATTTAGCAACAATCACAATAAATTGTGCACAACTATAGTCATCATTTATCACAGATACGAAAGTATACGATTAAGTAGCACCTAGCTAAGTTGTTGGACAAATAAAATAGAACAAAGATATATGAAATTTACTTAAGTTACATCCCAACGCAACTAACTAACACAGACAAAGATGAGCCAAACTGAATGCGATATAGGTAGAATGTTAGCTCCGTAAATAAGTTCAAAGCTTAAGTTAAGCTATATGTGCATCATCAGAAGACAATTTACTTGAACAATAATAATATTTAATTTGTTGCAATATATTGAGCTATAAATCATTTTTCTAGTTATTTTAAACCAACTGATATAAGAGTTGTATATCTCTTAAATTCGTAGGTGGTGTATTACCTTCAGACTATTTTGCTTGACTAAATGCTGTAAAACTGTTTAAGGATTTGAGGGCGATGACATGGTTATTCCAGTCCCAAATAAATGCCCGCAATCCATAGATATCCTCAGAAATCTGCTGCAATTAGTCATTAAGCGTAGTTTTCGGCAATTGGTTTACTTGAATTTAATTATCTTCTTGAATGTGAATTCACCGTGAATGATAAATTCTTTACTGTAATCCAGAGTTAGGATAACCGTTATAACAACGGATATTATAAAAGTTGGAAGTGGGTTTTTCGAATTATTATTATGAATTTATGGGATATTTATTAAGCAACCGGATTAACGTTTCAACTACTGTTAAACAACTACCCATTTCAATATGTTGTCAGTATGTTATTTACAGTCTCCACTTCCCACAGCCAGTTTTGGATTGTTCATGAATAATTGTTATTTTTCACTTCATAGTGCAATGTGGTTTTAAATTCAATGTTAGTGAAGGCTGATTACCGGCATCTGAACTGAAGGGCAGTGTCGAGAGGGAAGCTACAGGACTGTGGATCAGCAAGGACACAGAAGTGGAATCAAGGTTACTAGTCCTAGTTGGACACAATAAATCCGAGATGCTAGGTCATAGAAATCGGGGTTCTGATTGGTGGTTTGTTACGCGTTATTAAACAGCAAACATAGGTCATAACAATAACCTATAATGGACGAGACAATTTTTATTCCGTAGTTTAGACTATTCATTGATATAAGTTCAGATAAAACACTGACTTCTTCATAGTTTTCATTGTTGTGATACTGGGTTTTGATAAACAATATTTATTCAGATAAACTTAAATTAACTTTCCAGTTATTAATGGTATTTAATTAATCACTTGAAAGTAGATCATGGTAAGAGACTAACACATAAGCTAGAGATAATCAATGAAAAACGTTTAAAAATTTATAATAAAGACGTATCTAGCATAACTCCGCCTGTAGCTCTTATAGGGTTGCTGCCGGTCCCAAGCCCGGGTAAAGGAGGAGGGTTGGGCATGGGGTTAGCGTCCCCATCCCGTAGAAAACTAACTCGCTAAAAAAACGCTTACCAGAAAAAATAATCCAAACCATTTTAACTCTGCACTGGGAGTTAGAAGGTCTTCATTTAGAAGAATTATGACGCTTCATGGTGAAAGCCGAGTTCCTTCGGAAGCCACGAGGCCGATGCCCCTTCTAACAACCAGAGCAAAATTTTTTATAGGTACATGGAACGTTCGAACAATGTGGGAAACCGGGAAGACCAGTCAAATATCAATGGAAATGAGGAGATACAACTTAGCAGTACTGGGAATCAGCGAAACCCACTGGACCCAAGCTGGACAGAAAAGGCTAGCTACGGGAGAGATGCTGCTATACTCCGGTCACGAAGAGGACAATGCTCCACACACTCAGGGAGTCGCTCTTATGCTGTCCAAAGTAGCACGAAATACACTTGTAGGATGGGAATCTCACGGATCCAGAATCATCAAAGCATCATTCAAAACAAAGAAGGAGGGGATCTTAATGAATATTATCCAATGTTATGCACCCACCAATGATAGCAACGACGACATTAAAGATCAATTCTACGAGCGGCTGCAGTCAGTGATAGAGAAATGCCCAAGAAAGGACCTCACCATTCTAATGGGAGATCTAAATGCCAAAGTCGGAATAGACAACACTGGATATGAAGATATTATGGGACGACATGGACTGGGAGAAAGAAACGAAAATGGAGAAAGATTTGCAAATCTATGCGCATTCAACAAATTGGTCATAGGAGGCACAATATTTCCACACAAGCGTATACACAAGGCTACATGGATCTCACCGGACCACACTACAGAGAACCAAATAGATCATATTTGCATCAACAAAAAATTCCGAAGGACAATGGAAGATGTGAGAACCAGGAGAGGTGCTGACGTAGCTTCAGATCACCACCTAGTTGTAGCCGATTTGAAACTGAAGCTAAAAAAGAACTGGACAAGTGGACAAACAGCAATACAAAGGTTCAATACAGCCTTCCTTCGAGATACTGTCAAACTCAATGAATTCAAGATAGCTCTCAACAACAGGTTCCAAGCCTTACGAGATCTACTGAAAGAAGAAGAAACTACTATGGAGGACAACTGGAAAGGCATCAAGGAAGCATTAACTTCAACGTGTCAAGAGGTTCTCGGTCTAAAGAAATACTATCATAAGGAATGGATCTCTACAGAAACAGTGGACAAGATCAAAGAAAGGAAGAACAAGAAGGCAGCAATAAACAACAGCCGAACACGAGCAGAGAAAGTCCAAGCACAAGCTGAACACATAGAAGCAAACAAACAAGTGAAGAGGAGCATTAGAGCCGACAAGAAGAAATACGTTGAAGAACTAGCAACGACGGCAGAAAAAGCTGCTAGAGAAGGAAACATGAAACAGCTTTACGATACAACGAAGAAACTATCAGGGAAATACAGTAAACCAGAGAGGCCGGTCAAAGGCAAAGAAGGCAAGCCAATCACCGAAATTCAACAACAACGTAACAGATGGGTAGAATACTTCGAGGAACTCCTGAATAGGCCGGCTCCAATGAATCCACCGGACATCGAAGCAGCACACATAGATCTTCCTATAGATGTCAATCCACCAACTACGGAAGAAATTAGAATGGCCGTCAGACAAATCAAGAACGGGAAAGCAGCAGGACCCGACAACATACCAGCTGAAGCACTGAAATCAGACATCGAAACAACCACAAGCATGCTTTATCTTCTATTCAAAAAGATTTGGGAGGAGGAACAAGTGCCGATGGACTGGAAAGAAGGACACCTCGTCAAGATTCCAAAGAAAGGAGATCTGAGCAAACGTGAAAACTACAGAGGCATAACACTACTGTCAATACCAGGGAAAGTCTTCAACAGAGTGTTGCTGAACCGGATGAAGGATGCAGTAGACGCCCAACTTCGAGATCAACAAGCTGGATTCCGTAAGGATCGGTCGTGCACAGACCAAATTGCAACACTACGGATCATCGTCGAACAATCAGTTGAGTGGAACTCATCATTATACATCAACTTCATTGATTATGAAAAGGCATTCGACAGTGTAGATAGGAGGACGTTATGGAAACTTCTTCGACACTACGGAATTCCTGAGAAGATTGTCAATATAATCCGGAACTCATACGACGGACTACAGTGCAAAGTAGTGCATGGAGGACAGCTGACAGATGCATTCCAAGTAAGGACCGGAGTCAGACAAGGCTGTTTACTCTCTCCCTTCCTTTTTCTCCTGGTGGTCGACTGGATTATGAAGACCTCAACATCTGAAGGAAAACATGGAATACAATGGACAGCTCAGAATCAATTAGACGATTTGGACTTCGCAGATGACCTAGCCCTCCTATCACGTACACACGAACAGATGCAGATGAAGACAGCCAGTGTAGCAGCAGTCTCAGCATCAGTAGGCCTCAGCATACACAAAGGGAAAACTAAGGTCCTCAAATTCAAAGCGGAGAACAGCAATCCAATCACTCTTGATGGCGAAACTCTGGAAGATGTAGAATCCTTCACATATCTGGGAAGCATCATCGATGAACAAGGAGGCTCAGATGCAGACGTAAAGGCGAGGATCGGTAAAGCAAAAACAACATTCCTACAATTGAAGAACATATGGAACTCAAAACAACTTTCAACCAATATCAAAGTGAGAATCTTCAATACGAACGTCGAGGCAGTTCTACTGTATGGAGCTGAAACTTGGAGAACTACAACAACCACAATCAAGAAAGTACAAGTATTTATAAATAGCTGCCTTCGCAAGATACTCAACATCCATTGGCCGGATACCATCAGCAACAGCCTTCTGTGGGAGAGAACAAAGCAACTTCCAGCTGAAGAGGAAATTAGGAAAAGACGATGGAAATGGATAGGACATACATTACGCAAATCGTCAAACTGCATCACGAGGCAAGCCCTAACTTGGAATCCTGAGGGGAAGCGAAAAAGAGGAAGGCCAAAGAACACATTGCGTCGGATAATAGAAGCAGATATGAAAACGATGAATTACAACTGGACGGAGCTAGAAAGGATTGCCCAGGACAGGGTTGGATGGAGAACGCTGGTGAGCGGCCTATGCTCCTTCACGAGGAGTAACAGGCGTAAGTAAGTAAGTAAGTAAGTATCTAGCATGATATCGGTAGTATTTGGATTTCATGATAAGTAAATTTATAGTTGGAGTTACTGAGTTCAAACATGGCAATTTTTCGATGTTAACTCTAGTCTAGCGAAACCGATCACATAAACAATCATGTAATGTATGTTCATGTAACGGTTCCTCATAATATTTTAGAGGAATTTATAAATAAGCATAACTTAAGTGCAAAAAAAACACTTGTAGATTATATGATTAAATTCAATACACTGTGAGAAGCGAATACTTTATTTTGATCATCAGTTACCTTAAATCATGGAAACGACGCTCTTCAATAGAGTCAGTAATGTATTCGCTCAATGTTACAGACTATTAACATTATTAACACAATTCAATGATTCATATGCTCACTCATACTTAACGTTTTCTGTATACTGTATGCTTAGTCGTCTTGCAATGACCAGTCAAACAAATAGAAAATTAGTGATAATTATTATGGATAGTAAACATTTTTTTCAATTACACAGTTGTTTGGTGTTTTGAATAAATGTTATCATAATATCAAAAAATATAGGTATATGGAATCATTAAGATGGAAGAGGTAAGAGAATAGCGGTTAATACAACCAGTTTAATCTCAGTAAAATGAAACATATACACTCAAAATGTCCTGGTCAAATATGCAGTTTATGAAAATTTACATAAATGTACACGTTTTTTCGACAAATCAGTAACTAAGTTATGTTAATCATCTAGTAATAATATGTATAATAAATAGATAAACAAAGAACGACATAGAAACTTGGACGAAACTGAATAGGTTCACAATATACATAGTGAATATGATAAAATGAATATAAAAGGCTGGTGGAATTTACTAGAATAAGGTATCTAAAATACATTAAAATAGTTTATTTATGTAGATGTATAACCTATGGGTTTCTAACTAAAATTTCTTGACTTTTTATTAATCAATCAGTTCGATGAAGTAAAAGCTGCCACAAATGCACATAAAACCATGTTACAACATGATCAATTATATTCTGATTTATTGCATTGTCTTAACTCATCAACACGTTAGCGCTGTTGATACGAACCATTTTGTAGGGAAATTTATAAGTAGGTACACTGAATTTTATACATGGAGTTTTATCAAGTGAAGCAGATTCACATAATAATAATATGCAACAATTTAAACAAATGCAATTTAGACCTGTGTATGAAGTAGGAATAAAAGCAATATTAAATCACGTCGAGTGAACTACGTTCTGAATATTAGTATTATTATTAGACTAAGATGAAAAGAGTCGCACACAAGGTTATTAGTAATTATAATAGATCCTCAGTTTAGTTTGCCGATTATTCTAGTACCTACTTATCTAAAATTGAAAATATAACACGGTGAATTGTATATAGATGTTTCTATTTTTATTCGACAATCGGTAACTCACATACAAATGTATGTACGCAGCTTTTATCCGTACATTTTATGTGAGGGTTACTGATAATACTCAGCTGTCTAAACGGTAGGTACGATGCGATTAGAGCCTCTAACTTAATGGTTGAAAATCAAGTTAAAAAGATCAACCAGTCTGATCAATAAATAATTTGATACGGTCTACACTACGTAAGTGTTTAAGTATTTGGTATTTTCATTGTTATCCCTGTAGAATTAAAGTGTATGGATTTTAAAAGAAATAAACTTAAATCTAGCTAGCACTGTAGATAGGGGTGCTACTAATCGTACATACAAAAAATGGACACGTACATGATCTGAGAACGATAATAACCAATAAAGTGTTCATATTTTTTAGAACTAATCATCACAGATAGACATGAATTCATACCATGATGTAAACATACATATATATGGCTCCAGCCATTTCCTATTGATTAAATTTTGTAAAGCTAAATAGTTGCAGTTGAGGACTTAGTTAATGATTCGTTTAATTGTCAAAACATTTATTCGATTTTCTACCATTGAGTTATAAATTTGAAATCTGCTTCAGCTAATTTGGATTAAACAGCCATATAACACTACGAACGTTTACACTTACACAGAACGTGTAGCACAAAGCTGAGTGCATGAAAATGTAATTGATCGCCAGATTCTAATTATCTATTATTACATAAATTCAGTAAACTACAGTCATTTCGCAAAATAAGAATAAGATTTTAGTTACAATAATGTGATTCATTTGTACTTTTTTTTCTGTGATTTAACACATCTCAGTGATTTTAATCTCGTCGACTATAAGACAAAATAAAAAATCAGTCATTTAACTATAAAATTTGATTTGAACAAGTTGGCAAAGTCACATGAACATAACACTTACATGAATTAGTGTTCACTGTAAATCAATATGTAAAGACGTTGATCACTACTGTAATATTCTATGCAGTAACAAATAGGTTTTATAAAGTTTTTTTCAGGATGTAGAGATAATAAATTTTCGAAAATTCTCAGGTAACGAGAATAATAGAAAATTGAATCATCCTGCAGTGGAACAGATGTCATACATATATCTAATATTTTCGAAAGAATTCTTTCTTGATAAACTTCTAGACCATTAACCCGACATATATATGATCCTATAAAAACACGGTACTTTTAACCTGAATCGATAAATCTCAGAAATGATGTATACAAAACACTATCAATATATATCATCATCATTTACCTCTTCCAAACCACCATGTTCACGGGCGAAATTGTAAACAAACGTTCGTTCGCTTGGTATATTCATAGCATCTTCACGTCCAATAGCACGCAGTATGTTGCGCATGATTGCGCTTTCTTGTGAAGATATATCAAATGTCTTGGCTTCTCTGTCATAACCAACATGTTCAATATGACGAAAATTTGAAGGATTACTGATATCTTTTGATGTAAGCTTCTGCTATATAAAAATATATACATGTACATAAATGCGAACTATAATAATAATAACAATTACTAATCAAGCAAAAATAAACAATTGTACATTGAATATTCTTCAAATAGTTTTAAAGAAATTATAAGCAAACGAATAAATAACAAATAATGGTCAATCATTTCACATCCCCTATTGACTAATAAGTCAGTAAGGTTGAGCGTTTAGTTTTGATTTACTGGGCTGAATTGAAGACAGAGTAATGGCAAAAATTTTTGGTGTTTAAAACAATACATCCAGAGCTTGAGTTTTAACGGATAAATACAACATATAGTGACGCGCTGTATCCAATTTATTGTTCGACGATGATGCGTAGTGTCGCAATTTAGTCTGTACACGACCGATCCTTACGGAATCCAGCTCGTTTGTCTCGAAGTTGGGCGTCTACTGCGTCTTTCATCCGGTTCAGCAACACTCTGTTGAAAACTTTTCCTGGTACTGACAGGTGTTGACAGTAGTGTGATGCTTCTGTAGTTCTGGCATTTGCTCAGACCTCCTTTCTTTGGTATCTTGATGAGGTGTCCTTCTTTCCAGTCCATCGGCACTTGTTCTTCCTCCAAATCTTCTTGAATAGAGTGTGAAGCGTGTTCGCAGTTACTTCAATGTCTGACTTCAGTGCTTCAGCTGGTATATTGTTAAGTCCTGCTGCTTCCCCACTCTTGATTCGTCTGATGGACATCCTGATTTCTTCGATCTTTATTGGAGTGACATCCATAGGAAGGTCTCTGTGTGTTGCTTCGATGTCCGGTGGACTCAATGGAGCTGGTCAATTCAAGATTTCCTCAAAATGTTCTACCCATCTGTTCTTCTGTTCTTGAATCTCTATGATTGGCTTTCCTTCTTTTTCCTTTACTGGTCTCTCTAGTTTACCATATCTACCTGCTAGTTTCTTCGTTGTATCATATATATTTGATAAACTGTTAATAACTATGAAATCGCACCATAATTTAATTGGATTGTCACGCACTCCATTTCTAACCCAGTTCCATTTAAGACAGTATAACGATGTTATAAGCTGTTGAATGACTTTAAACAATTATCAAAATTTACTGTTTCAATCAATTACCTGATTTTGTCCTTTCATATACACTTTTTTATGCCAACAGAACTAACTGATGATTGATTAATGTCAAATTAAGCATTGAAATACTGATTTTAGCGAATAACTAATTTCTTGTAAAGAGTACCAAGCTGTTTTATACTACTTATATCAGATGATTGAATTTTTGCTTATTATCGCTATTAATTTAATTGTTCTATGCTATAAGTGATTCACTAGAAAACAATAATTACTTATCAAAATTTCGGATGACATTCTTCTTAAGAATGTGACTTTTTTACATACACAAACGTATATATGCAAAGAACTGCTTGTATTATATAAATAAAGTATATATTCTTTTTTACTCATAGAAATGTTCTTTTCACAAAAATCAAGTTATACCCCAAGCAATAAAATTATTCAAATAATAATTCTAAGAATGCGATGACTCAGTAAATTTAAGAAGCAAGCAAGTAGTCAATTATTAGTGTAATATCATGTTATAAGTTATTGTTTAACTGATTTACAAAGAATGTCAGAATTTTAATTTTAAGCAAATCTACTCAAACCTATGCATAGATTGAAGACATTCAAGCAGAACGAAATCATAAATGAGAATATGCCTCTATACAGAACAAAATTTATAATGAAAAAAGACAAAAATACATCAATGTGAGTGAATTAGTCTGGTGAATTAGAACTTCAAAATCCCAATGTCCTATATTTACTTATATTTAAGCACATGAATATTAGTGCAGAGGGGTACCAAAATGCGTATGAACCAAGCTTCACTCTATTTGTGTGAAGGATGAGATACTAACTAGTCGCTCAAACCGAAGCAGATGGTTTTCTTAGAGGACCACATCTGCAGTCTTTGACCTAGAAGTCTAATCCACAAGGCAGAGGAACAACGTAATAAGATGCAGTCCCGTATTAACCGGTAACCAACAGTAGATTCATACGCCATTTGTTTCCATAGGATCCTGGAGCCCATGTGCATCATTGGTTGGGAAACAAGGTTTTCCAACCCCTCTAGGTGGATCCCCAGTACCCATCAACCCGGTTAGGACGCCGGACATTCGCTTTTCGTGCTCTCAATTTCGTAAACAACACCCCCGCAACGAGAATGCAGTGAGTAGGACTTCCCTGATAGTGGTTGTATACGCGCGACCATGTGGGAGTATTTCGAGATGGAGAGAGAACTCTCCACACCCTCGACCGTACCAGGGCATTTGATACTATTCATACATAATTATCAATTTAAGCAAAATTCAATTACACTTGTAACTAAATTGGAAAAATTTATATGCATTGGATTTTTCATTATTACATATGATCTATGATGTGATAGAAAAAAATAAGTTTTATAACTAATATACTAATTTTTACAAGTTTTCAGCTTTGCTTTGCCTAGCAGAAACTAAGAGTTAAAAGTTGTAAGGTCAGAATATTGTGAAAGTGAACTGCTACGGCATATTCGACTTGAAATGATTGTGTTTATTCTAGGAATTATGTGTTGCTAAATCAAATACACTTTTATACGCAGTACTATACACATCCAACTAATAGTTGAACCTGATTAACTGTGGTTCACTGATTAAAATAGACTTTATATTACTGAATTGTGGCTCAACTGACCCTACTTTCATTTAAACAATTAGGTAATATTTCTAACTTACATCTAAAAAAGAAATACGATCTTAATCAACTTGAATACAGACACCACTATTCAGTAGTTCGACAGTATCGGAAATAAAACAACCATCTAACGAAAGATAAATGAATACGGAAAACATTTGCACACAATTTCAGACTGACATTTTTCATGTATGAATGATTGTCAACACACATCGACAGGTTGAAGCTATTTTAGAAATGAATGCTTCAATAAATCCCACACAGAAATTTGACTTAAAAACTGAAAGTAAATAAGAGGATTACCTATAAATTTCAAAATGGAAAAGAACTACAGCAACTAATGAAAACTCACGTTACCTTTTAAAAGTATATTAGAATATTTGATTATTTTAAAGCCATTAAGAAAGATAAAACTAACCATAGATTGATTGCTGAGATTTGATGATCTATATGAACTATATTCAGTTAAGTGTGAGAGAAAAATTATAGACAGGCTATAAAATTAGACACTCATTGATTCATCAAAGTACATCAGAATCTCAAAAGGAAGCCATAACTAACAAATGACTCAATGAATTTGTCGATGATAATTTAAATTTAACTAATATTCCAATAGAGCTCACTCTGAAACGTGAAGTTGAAAATTTGATACACGCGACTAAACTATATAAGTTGCACAATTGAGGACAGATTTAATTTAATGATAACAGGAAGTATAGAGTTGATAAGCCTAATTAACTAATGATCAGTAATATATGGTATAAAGATTTGATGAACTACAGTATCTGAACACACACGAAGCAGACAACTGTTATCTGATTGTACACGTTGATGGGACTGATTAGTAACTATCTTATATGTGACTATCTATCAAACATATCTGGGAAATACAAATGTTTCTTTTTAACACAAACTTGGCGACAATGTAGGCTTAAAAATATTCGATTGCACTTACGTCCAAAAGATGGTCCAATAAACCAAGTTAACAACTTGGATGGTAATAAAATTAAAGATGTTAAAAATATTCTAAAAGTATTTTACATTGACGGCGATTATGGATTAGATCAGACTGTATAAGTTTAATAACTAGATATAAAACAGTAGTGTAGTGCGAACAGACATAAGTAGTATGTAGCAGGAATTGGAAGTGAAACGCTTACCAGTAAAAGATTGAGATTAAGAAAAGAGGGAGGAAAACAGAGAGCAATCGGAATAACAACAGGATTTGAAGAAGGATGTAACATTTAAAGGATAACTTAAGGAAGATATGCGAATGATGCATTTGATTTATGGTTTTTCATATTTTGCAAAGGCAGTGTTTGATTTTGTATAAAACAATAAATTGGTTTATCGTACCTAAGTTTTTGTTTACTACAATAGGACTTGGATAATTTAGTATTTTTCTCTTAAAAAAAATAGTTGCAATATTATTAAACTTAATTAAGCTTAATACGTTAGTACATTTCACAAAACAAATAAGTGTGGTTGCATATAATTGCCAATAAATTAATAAAACTAAGAAAAACATAGATTGCATAATTATTAAAGTTGATAAAATACACTAGTCATTCTTATATTATAGTTTCATTAAAAAAACTAATTATAGAAACAGTCCTTTTGTAATGAACGAAAACATAGGTGGGGACAATCAAGTGTATTTTAACACAAAATTACAGTTATTTGGTAAAATGTAAAAACCACACATTCAATCCTTCATTTGCAAAATGTCCATTAATTATATCAGACTTTCTTGTTCCTTCATTTTCATACCAATTACTCTCCGTCCCCTTTCTCTTCTATTCGATCTTCCCAACCTTCTGCTCCCAAGCCTTTCACTTTTGACTGGTGTTACATACTACTTATGTCTATCAGCATAAGTAACATACACCACACTTTAAATATCTTTTTTAATTACCAATCATCACAAAAATAACTTCTATTTATAGAAATTCAATTAAAATTCCGATTTAATTTATAATAATTTAAAGTAATACAGATTCATGATAAAACATTTTTGACAAGTGTGAATCGAAGCATTAAGATAACTGACTTGCAACCATTGAGTAGTCGATTGAAGCTAAGGTATATTTAGTATTATTTTGTAAAATTCGATAATATATCTGGTACTTGGATGAATAAATATAATTCAAAAATCTGTACATCAACGTTAAGTCAAAATCTCCACACAAAATTCAATTTCAAGTTGGGTTTATTTTTACAAATGACTAAGTATCTCATGTACTAAGATAGTAACAAGTGTAAAAAAAAAATTAGCAAAACGAGAATTACTCCGCTGGTAATGATAATTAACAATGAGATGGTAATAATTGTGATATTGTAAACAACCCATAAAATACTATTAAATATCTATCTTGGTACGAATTTCGATTCTCCCAATTCTGTTATTATCCCAATTGTTCTCTGGTTCCCTTCATGTTCTTTTCAATCCAATCTCCTGCTGGCAGGCATTCCACTCCCGATTGCTGCTACAAACTACTTATACCTGTTAGCATAAGCAGTATACACCACACTCTGTCGCTGCTAAGATTCGAACCTCGGTCAGTGCAGTATACACCACAATACGACTAAGTGCTCATAATCTTTTCGAGGGATAAAATATTAACTGAATCCATTTAGGGATAGTTTCAAGACTAAAGTCAAAAGCAAACAGCGGACACTTAACTGATAAAGCGAGTTCGCGTACTCGAAGTCAATCTAGCGGAGTTGATAAACCATTGGTACATAAAGACTACAGAATACTACATAAACAGACTGGATGTGAACACAATTTGATCACCCGTTACAGTGAGAATTTATATGCCGACGTTGACTGACTGCCAAGAGGATAAGACCTTTGAAGTAAAGATTGATAGACATCCTACGAGAAAACCATCTGTGTTGATTGCGTGCTCAGGGGACGTTAGATTTCTCTGATATATCGAAGAGGATATCGACAAATTAATGACTTTGGAACTGTTTTATGGATTGATAATACATTTTTTATTGTATAATTATTAAATATCTGGATTATTACATTACTAAATTCCCTTTATTTTACGCTTAAGTTGAATTTATCGACTATTAAGATAAGTTTGACCATTCCTCAATTTCGATAATGCAATGTGAAGACGAAGGTTATCAGAATTGTGATATATTTTCGCAATACATTTCGAACAATACATCCTTCATTGTATTGTCCGTTCATAAAAAGGATACACTTTCTCTTGATTTTAATTTTTCTGTCCCTACAACACAAATCTCTGAATTGACAATCAATGCCCAATTCTAAAACCTCTATGATCATTTGAGTACTTTAGTCCCTTCATTCTTGGAGAAGCAAACTTGGTTTGAAGCTAAACTAGTGGGTATAGCGAATCAGTTTCATTCTTCTGGACCAAAGCAGAGAAGTGTATTAACTTCTCAGCACTTCAAATCATTAAAAGAATTGCGAATACCGATATTATCATAGTTAAGCACGATAAAGAAGCTGGTGTTGTTATTATAAGTCCGATTACAAAAATAAAATGGAATCCATTCTCAGTCATAAAAGCAATTTTATGGCTGATGTTGACTCCGATGGATCACATAAATTAGGAAAGTAAACTCGAATCTAATGAATTTGTTAAACATGAATGCTATTAACAAGGATGAGTTTAACTTGTTGGAACCTATGAGTTCGGTGTATCCTAATTTATATGGATTACCAAAAATTCATAATCCTAATACCCCCTTACGACCAATTCTATCAGTGTCGGTCACCTACACACAACCTTGCAAAATGGCTTACAAAAGTATTAAACCCTATCCAAAATCAATTTTGTAAGTATTTCTTGATTGACTCATTTGGATTAATTAAGTACTTAAAGGACATGAATATAAAAACTATTGATATTTTATGTGACTGTATCTCACTGAATAACCTTGCATTGTCATTTCCTGTTAAAAATCTTAAATATTTATTATTATTGTGTACTGACAATGTAAAATTCACTTTTGAGGATGAGTACTTTCGACAAATCGATGGCGTAGTTATAGGTAGCCCTTTAAGACCCCGAGACATTTGGTTGAAACGGGTTATAAGGTTGATATCAAGTCGGCGTTTGTAGTGTTGTACAAAAGCCTTCAAGGACGTATACTGAAGTTTATTGAAGCCATGACTATACGGAAACTGAAACCCCCTTTATGTGTTCAAAAACAATTTGTTCTTAACCTACCCTGGTACTACTGATAATGTTGAAAATAAAGAGCCAAGTAAAAAATTTTCAAGTTGCCTCTGTTAATGCTCAATAGCAACTTTAATAAATGCGTATGAATACTATTTTATGGTTAAATTAGCTACAGCAGGTGACTACTCAACTGAGTATACACTATAAGTAAAATTCACACAAAAAATTTCAACGACAATTACGAAATTTCCTAGCTATGAAGATAGGAGGCTGAAAATAAAACATGTTATAACGAAAGTCATTCATCAATTAAGTACTAACACAAATTAATTGCTGACAAAAGTACTGAATATTTGACATAACAATCGTTATCTTCACTTGAATGTATTTTAATATTCAAAAGCTATTTAGGAAGATTAGGAGTTAGTCAGCAGCATGAAAACAAAAACCAAGCCATAGAAATACAGGATAATAAACAGGGACATACAATGAATGTTGAATCATACAAGATGTGAACTCACCGAGTTACTTTCAAGAGAAAATAGGTTGGTTAGTATCTAAAATTTATTGGCAGAGTACAACGCAAATATCAAAAGTGAAAACACATCTGAGTAAGATATGTAAATACGAGTTACAATGATCAATAAAGCTTTTCCTGAAAATATAGATGATATTCCAGTTAATTAGACTGATTCATCACAAACAAACCGTTAAAATATTCAGGGAGACAAGAGAGTTAATTAATCAACTACAAAAACCCCTAATTAATATTACTGTCATTACTACTAGTAACCAATTCAGTGTGGTTCGGCATCGAACAAGATTAAAAGAGAACATAAACATAAAAATAATACATATGTAATATCCCAGTCGGCGGAAAGACTAAATTTTTTGACGTTTTGTGACTCAGTGTAAGCCACTTCTTCAGAGAACAAATAAACAAATTGAATTAACCCAAGTTTAAATAGTAGTTAGATTATGTTAGGTTAATGATAAGTAGTTTGCTGATAGAAATAATAATAATGATCATGATCGGATAGTAAAATGAAGTCAAAAATTCAATTTCCACTTAAAAATGCACCAAAAATGTATTGACCCTAAGTCAAATAAAAACTAGTTTGTCATAAATTTGTAGAACCTACCCCTAAATTGAATACAGAACGAGTTAACTGACAAATGCTAGCAAACAACTAATCCGAAAAGTCTAAAATTTGATAATAAACACATGTAGACCAACTATACACATAAACAGCATACCTTTTTTCCTTTAGATTTTGTTTTGCCCCTTATAGACGTAACTCCTTGATCAGACAATTTTGTCGGATTTAAACTATAGATGCCAGCTTGCACGATTGGTTGAGAACCAACAGTATGTAGATTCGATGAAGTCTTCTCAATAGCAGCTGCACGCATAGACCTTAAACGACCATTTACTGTATGTGCAAAATGTTTAGCCTCCTCAAGAGATGCGAAAGCAAGTCCAACTGGCCCATCATCTGACTGCAATACGTGAAAGCATTTTAGTTCCTCAGTATAATCCATTTCCAAAAATAATCTTTGCTCTAAGAGAGGAATTCTCCTCTATAAATATAGTTTGCATTGGAAACGAAGAAATGAGAGTTGACTTACAATCACATCGTATATTCTGATGAAATAATCCTTATAATTTTTGTCCTTGATACAACATACAACGCCACAACCTTTAAGCACCCAATTCGATTCATTTTCACCTTTGAAATAGCGTACCACAGCGGAAGCTAATGAATCGCAACCAGTTCCAAACAATGAATATAATACGGAATTCTCCTCGTTAGTTAGTAGAACCGAAGTTCCACCTACTGGAGCGGACTATCAAAGGTCAAAAGCAAATGTGTAGAATCAGAAAACACGAAAACTGTATCTGAGTACGCCTTTTAAAGGGGAGTAAAACGAGAACGTCCCAGCCAAACAAAGAAATAGACAGGTTATGGTTCATAACAATACTTTCACAAGTAAAGCATCAGAAAAATGATTCTGCAGTACAGTTTTGTTTCGTCAAAATCCATGGTGACAGTATACTACTAACGATCAAGATTACTGTTAACGTGATAGGATTGGACGAAAGAATATTCCGTGCAGGATTGTGTTTGGGTATGTTGATTGGCCATTTCTTAATCAATCAGTCCAAACGGATACTTGGAGAAGACTCTAGAATCCTCTTGTGTAGAATTCTAGTTATACAAACGTTCGTCTTATAATTCCTACTGACATTCAGCCTTGTTTGGTTCGGATATAATTACGTTCCTGTTCAGCTGGGTCGTAATGAGACCATAAAAATCACCCAAGGTAACTCCCGGATCGAGGACACTTCCTTAGCCCGTTTTATACATCTTAGGGATATGGGACTATGAGACCGATGCACAAATGGATGCAGTGATTTTAAGTGTACGAAGTCCTTACTACTCAATAACAAATATGACGAGTCGTTAAGTGCCTAAAATGAAATTAAAATGGATGCCGCTAAATATGAGCTGAAGCGATCAAAAGCACCAGTGTTATTTACTCACTTCCAGAAAAGAAACCATGTGTGAGGCTAGTTTTTACACAAAAGTTGCTTATACCAGTAATTTGGTAGATGAGTCAAAAACAATACAACATATTGATCTACAATTTTAAACCTTTCAAAACATCCAAGACTTTTTACAATCAAAATTTGGTAAAGTTTGCTAATATAACGCCTAACTTTTCTACAAAAAGATCCAAAATACACATGGTATTTTAGAAGTCTACTCAATTTTATGACTGAGTGCACATGGTAAGCACAGATCTTTATTGACATGACGGAGAGTAGTGAAATTCAACCTGTAAATAGATGTCGTTTTCACAAAATTTACGCAAAAATAAAAGATAATAGACAAAAACACTAAACAAAGTTGTATAACTAGGAACACATGTTAGAAGTACATTAAGGTAAGCAATGAAAACTCCAGCAAATCAAGTTAGGGTTTGAGGCGAAATGAAAAACCAGTAACCTCGGTTATAGTAAGTCTGAGAAGCAGTAAATCCATAAACACAGGTTTTATAATAATGATAGTTTACAAACAGATGATAAAGTAAAACAAGCGTACAGTGTAGAAATTACGTAAATATTTACGCTTGGATGGGTAATCGCCAAACTGACACGGTTGAACTTGCAAGTAATACGACGGAAATATTTACTGAAGGCACCCTGTGTTATATTCAATAAATATTTAAGTTATGAGAGTCACCAACCGATTTCGCATCCTCTGTAGCACATTTTATCGTCTACGAATTGCAATTCATCAGAGCTGTAACTACTAGTGGCTTCTGATTAGCGTGACTTGCTACTACACCCAGTGACATATATACTCAAGCCACTTTAAATCAGGAATATCAAAACAACAAGAAACCTGAGGCATATTAAATTGATTTTGTGCATTGATAGAGAAGTAAGTGTGTAGAGTACGATGTAAACGTACTCGCTTGGGTTTAGTACATACTAAAAAAAACTTGAAAACTGGCCTGTGATAACAATGTTGGCCATTGGGATTCAACAAGTGGACACTAAGTACTTAGTCAACACAACAGTACAGTACGAAGAAAACCGACTCAGTGACCTGACTGAAATTGTAGTATACACAAAAAGAGGTCAGTGTTGAGTTCTGGTAGACTGTTTAATTTGAAACACTTTATTTAGGTATTTTCTAAACAAAATAATCTTAGAACAATTGATGACAGAGTAGAGACCGTCAGAGGGTTACGGTATGCTTGTTCGAATATAGAAAAACATGGGGCCAGTGAAATTACTGCCAACACGTCTTTAGGTCATCTAGGATTCCAGGTTTATCCTTTGCCCAAGAAACGAAGGTAGAGTGTATTGTCATGGCGGTAAGCTCAAACAAATATATATCCGGCGATCGCTGGAGCTATTATGGTCATTAAACCGTGACTGAAACATGTATGTACACATATATATTCCCGAATTACATACATGTGCACTAACGTTATACGATACTGAGGGACTGTGGAACAAGCATTTTCAATTTGGCTCAAACCTCTCCAGCCTGAGGGTACTATCAATCGATAAGCACCATGCTAAATATAAATCATAGTGACAAACTACAAACCCTGAGCGAAACCAGCTTTGTTCACATCAAGAATGATAATGGGAGCATCAAAGGATTAGAATAGTATAAGTGAACTCATTTATAATTTCACCTAAATCCTAAATTATCTGTGCTAAAACCCCACCAGATACAACCATCGCAACGAGGATCCAGACTTTAGAGACCATTAAATCATTAGAACTAGAAATTAGTACAAACAGTATAAAGTAAAGTAAATCCTACAAAGACATAAGAAAGGATCATACCGTCCGCATTTCTTTGAAAGCGCGCTTCCCCGTGTCGTAGCACTCATACTTTTACTTCACCTGTTGAATAAATTCCACGCATTAACACAATGTACCCTGGTTCAGTTAATATACATTTATTAAAAAGACCACAAAAAGTGAAGAATCCTTAAATACTTTGGTTTAAGGATATCTAAGACCACTTATAATCAATGTGTTCGAAACATGCTGAAGTTAACCGTTTGATTATTTTGCGACCATCTCTTAGTGTTAAGGCACTGTTCCGGCTCTTTGGTGCCATCCAATGTAAGTAGTCCAGCCACTCATTCGGCGTAGTATTGAGTAGTGATGCTGATCATCCTGATCTCCAAATTGATTCAGACTAGTCACATAATTTTGATGTCGTGTGCCGATAATTAGTTCCAGAAAGAGTTTACTAGTGCATATCAGTCACGGTAGTAACCACCAACACACACATAATGAAAAAACACATCCATATTTGCAAAAACAAAAATGCGTTGGAGTAACTGTAATCCAAAACCTGAAAACAACCGACCACAGAAGCTTAGTAACAGTTAAAAAATTTCGTGTTTTATGGCACTTTTAAAGAGACTTCTGATGCTTTGACGATTTTGTGCATCGTACTTTACTCACCAACTATGTGAGACCACTGAAACAAACCTGCAGAAAAGTATTCAGTCCATGCCTCAATAACGATGTTGAAAACTTGAGCATGTTCGACCAGTGATTACAAAATTAGTGACAAGGCTTTGAAACATCTAACAAACGTCATCAGCATCTAAACATTATTTGACTGAACAGACCTCGGTGCTGAAAGTTCTTATGATCTCTAGAATTCAGCCAGTAGATGCAGCCAGTTCGTCTACAGCGTTGTTTTGATGTTGAGGCAAGCACTACCTGCACCTGTTGTGGTATTTCAGACAAGGAGATCTGTCTAAACAGGCCTATGCCAAAGGTTCGTTTGCCAGTGACCTCAAGCATCCGTAACAACGTGTCCGCTGCTGAGCCACGTTGAAGAGCTGATCTAAGTGTTGTCGGTCGGTTAGATTCTCACGCTTAAAAATAGCTTTTCGAGTTATGTGAAATACCAGGTATGACATACCTGTTAAAATCGTGAGGCAGCGCCTTCACTACTGCAAGGAAATGTACACGTGTTCTTTCATGCCGTGTTCTTGGAAGTTAGCTTCTGAGTTGCAGAACCAAGCTTCGATGTTGTCGGTAAAAATGGCATTAGCTGAGAGTGGCGAAAGGGTCTTGATATTAAATACCTTAGGATCAGTTCGGTCACTGTAAGATCTATTTTGAATGTTTTGTGTGTGTGTGTATGAAAATCCCTTCATGTATATACTTGCACTTTGTTCCTATTGATTCCTTTAGTTGCACATTTTGTTAGTCGTTTTGATTCCATTTGAGTCGGTAATATTTGTATTCTATTATAGTTTTTATTTTTCTCATGCATTCACTAAGTTTACATGTTTCTTCCTGAACTGCATTTATGTTGTTTTACTTGACACCTAGTCTTGGCGGCAGCCATATTGGTTTGTTCCTCCTTTCGATTGTGTTGCTTGTATTGGCTGGAATTGTGCATTTTTGATTGTGAATTGAGGCACTCTTCCAGAATTGGAAACACTCTGTGTTATAAAGCAACCAAATATTATCTTAAAAACGAATCTGTGCGTGATCTATCCAGACAGGATAGAACAACATTTAATTGTTACGATTGGTAATATTCTCGCACCCTTTATCAACTTCCTTATTTATTGTGATTTAGATTTGGTTAATTGAACAATTATTGGTTGAATATCTGGGTGACCATATTTGTCTAGGTAACAACGTACATTTAAATTTACGATGAATTTCAGACCCGTCATCTTACCCAATCACTTTGTTTTAGTTTTAACCGGGCAAGGACGCGTATCTAACCCACCTAGACAGCTATTCTTCAGTCCAAAACATATTTGGGATCTTACAGCCATGATGAATTTAAAATGTATCGGTGAACAAGAAAAAATATCCGAAAATTCTAAAAAGTATCATATTATGTAAAAAAAATAAACTAAAAAATCGATATGAAGTTCCATGGAGTAACAGACTCACAGTTTACGAATTGGTGTACCAGAATACGACGGACTCACTACTAAAAGTGTCACAAGTAATCGGAGTTTGACAACGCCTTAATCCGTAACACCTTCTATAATCGAAACATGCCAACCTAGTGAAATCAAAAGTCAGAAGCGAAGAGGTTCGAGGATATATTTAATAAATTTGATCAATCTAAGCTGGTCAACTGTTGTGAGGGATGTGTAGCACGGCGTACTCACTCGCGATCTAGTTTGGATGCTTGACTGAATGCCTTCAGTTAGGTGTGTTCATTCAAACTAACGAGGTCAGCATCAAATGTCGAAGAATTACAGAGCTATTGATTTTGGGGACTTATTAACCGCCACCTCGTCATCGTGGGATCGCATTTTTCTCGTCGGATAGTCGTCGAATGTTTGAACATGATATACTAGCTATAGCATTTCAAATGTATGTGGATGAAACTGGACCTCTATAGTACCATTTATCATGGGTTTTGAACAAGTCATGTTTATAACTAAGGACTGTACTTTGAGACTGCTTATTATGTGTGAGATTTCACAATTGTATAGCTATTCAAACGATTTGTGTCTTGCCTTAAGATTTCTGTTTATATGATCAGTTAATAAAACGCGCAAAATATTGATTTAAATATCGTCGTAATTATATGATCAAATTGTCTTCGATTCGACTGGCTGTGCTACTCTACACTTTGTACGTCGCTCCAAAACTCATGTGCCTTGGAGTTAGTTTCGGGATGGAGATGTGTATTGTTGTCCTTAGGTAAGACTAATGTGGGACTGAAAGTGTGGACATGGTTTTCATGTTTGTCACGAATTTATAAGACGACAATTTGAACCGTTATGTGTCATCTCTAGGACGAATTTTTGCCATTCAACTTCGATCTCTATAAAATATATGTTTTCTTTCATTCATTGCGTAATTAGGGTACTACCACACACTGTATCATAACAAAATACTACTCTTTCGCTATATCCGGTTCTTCTAAGCTTATATTGGTATCCATACCTACAGATGAAAACGATCCAACTGCAACGTATATTTAACGTTTCTCTATTCAACTTACACCTTTTTAACAATCCGTGAACGTTAACTGAAAATACTGAAAAAGGATTACCAAAATAACTTTCTAAAGAAGGCTGATCTATTTTTCTGTTTTATCATCCGATGTCAGTTTGCGATTCTACAGAGTGTATCCAACTGCGATTACAACGTCAAACAACACGAATATTGACAGATTGGGTAGATATGTAGTTGTGGACTATTGAATCATAGAAGCAAAGAGAATAACAAATAGCTTTTCTTCTGTGCTGGTTCATGCCATTATGGATGTCAATGAAAACACTCAACAAGTGCACTAAAAAGCCTGTCTGTAACGTTAATACGACTTTTCAAAAGACTCACCAGTTTCAAAACAGTTACGTTAAAGCATCCGCGAAAATGCGTTTCAGGCCCTCCAATTTATCCACGCCTGAAATTTTTCGTAAAACAAACACAAGATATAATTGAAATTCACTTTTTTCATCTGACGACAGCATTAAGTCTAATTTAGCATGTTACAAATTATCTAAGTACAATAGCGATTAAACATAAATTGGAAACATGAGTCTGAGTGATGAGTGTAGGAGAACAACCTCAGTATCACTGTTGGATTTCCTCGTCCTTAATCATAAGGAGCCTGAAACAGCAAAATGTTCTGTCCCATGAACACTGGTGTGTTGAGATCATGGCCCTCACCACCAACGCTTGCTGAGCAGTGATTCCACTCTCCATCCTTTTGTTATTTTAGAATCATTACCTTTTCTTTTAGGTAAAATATTACGTCTCATACGTTGCTCTATATTTCACGTCCTGTTAGAAAACACTATTTTTATAAACACCATCCTACAAGCCTAACAGGTAGTCACAAATTCTGGACTGAAGTAGGGCATCAGGGGAATGCTCTAAACGACTATAATATATATTGAGTTTCCAAACAAAGCAAAGGAAAGTATGATGCAGGACAAATGCTTACCGAAGTAGACGAAAGAGTGTAGGAATATAACAGTTATGAATAAGGTAGTGCGTGATGGAGTAAAATTAGTTATAAATCGACATAATGTTTATGAAAGTAGAAAGCTGATGAACTCACATTAATTTGGTGCTAATGATAACTTGTGATATCTTAATAGGTTGACAGGTTACGGGCACCATAGATGCAAAAGCACAGGTTGTTTACTAACAACATGGTTTAAAGGCTTGCACAGCGTGCGACAAAGAAAATTGATTTTAATTTGATTGACGTTCTTGATACCTTTAGTATAAAATCCTGATTTTGAAGGTTATAATTATCATTTTCGGTAAATTTCAAAGTGTCACAGTTTAATATAGTTTCATCATTTAGAATTTTGAAAAGTAATGTAAGGTTAACCTTAAATCGTCGCAATCATAATGGATCCAGTTTTGATGCTTCAAATACATCTTTATATGATAGGTCAGGCGTGAGAAGTTTTGTTAAATGGCATCGTACTTTCTCAGTATTCTACCGGTCTATGGAACAAATCGTTTTTGAGTTACTTGTACTAAATTATACCAAAACACAAACTCTGTGCTCAATTTGAACTGTTCTAATTTTAGAAAGAGAACAAATTATATCAAAAATACAAAATACCTCAGATGGCACAACCTGTGCTATGCAGTCAAGGGATTGTCTAACGCAAATGAGCGTGCTAAACAACAAAAGAAATGGTCATTACACATGAATTCAATACCTGAAAACCAATGAAAACATACTCAACAAGTTGGGATCACATGTCTACCTGCTGGGATCCCAGCAGTCTTTCCGGATAGACAGTCAAAAGTTGAAAGTCACATACTGAACCACGCCATTGTCTTGAGGTTAGTCGAACACGACCTTATTGTCAATAGCCCAGCAACATGCAACAGAAAAATTAAGTAACAAACGGTAAGTCTTTAATCAAAGTCATCTAATAA